ATGTGCAGGCCTCGCCCTGGGAGGACCTCCTTGCTGATCAAGGTGCCTCCTGTGCCAGGTAAGTATGCTTGAATATAGCGGCCGACTCACCACTTTCAGCGGCCATCGCAAGAACGCTATGGTGTTTTGTTTTCTGAATGGTTCACTTTTTATCAAATCAAATATATCGCTCTTACTAATTGTATTCAGTTTTCTGCAATTATGTAATACATATATTTTGTCAAAATTTGATAAAACGCAAATCCTTTTAAAAGAATTATTACTGCAACATACAGTTCAAATAGTTTTAAATAAACTGGTAGCAAAGGTTGCTTCCCTTTTTCATCGTTTACATTTTTGGTAGCCTCCCTTTAAAACAAGCCGAACACGATGATGTGTAGTGATATTAAGTTGCTCTTATAGTTCCGGTTCATTTGGGATCTGTTTGTGTTGTGTTACGTCATTTTGTTTTTTAGCGCAATTTCCATTCTGGAGAATTGCGTTTATTAACCCGTCATTTCTGGATGTATGAATGAATGAATGAATGTGTGTCCGCAGCTTTAAGTCGTATCTCCTCCTCAACAAAGCAATATCGAGGACTAGTTCCAAAAGCAATTATGTTAAGCAAGTTACGAGGATGAACATAGGCCAAAAAAATTCCGGGTTTCTTTCATGGATTTCCCGGAAAAGCCAAAAAAACTCGAAAAAAATGCAGTTTTTGGCCCATATCTCGGCAACCAGGCCACTTAGCGACTTGAAACATGTACCAATCGATTCCTGCCATAACTTAGAACAATATTGCCGAAGAAAGTTTTCAAAAATATCCTTTCGTTCGGTCACAAAAAAAAATTTTAATTAATTAAAATTTGGACCGAATTAGTAGGCATTTTTTCCAACCACACCACACGCGTCATCACGTTCAATAGCTGCGCCATCGCGTTCCATGGCTGCGCCATCACGTTCAGTAGGCGCGCAATGGTTTTTAGTCATGTAACTCTATTGTAAAAAAAACATGTAAAATACTGAAAAAAATTAATAAAAAACGTTTTAATAACTAACCAATGGTTTTACTAACCCTGCTCTTGATTTACGCTACGACAGAGCTATTTTTAGATAACATAAGGAAATTGCGCTAAAATTGTCACTAGACTTTTTAATTACCTTGTTTTCGTATATAAGCCTCAAACGGGGGATTGTATGCTAGTGGGATTTTTGTCGATGGGGGGGGGGGGGGAGAGAAATGGTGGCGGTTTACCATCTCTAAAGGGTGATAAAGAAGTAAAGAGTTAAAATAAGTCTTTGGTCGTCAGGCAGACGTCAAAGACAGGTCTATACTTGCTAACTTGATGAAGGCAGTTGGTTGAAGTCTTCCTGATAGTGCAGTAGTTTTTAACCTGGGTTCGGTCAAACCTATAGGGTTCGTAGGGTTCGGTTTGTCAATCTCAGGGGCTCGGGGAGGTCAATATACACACAGATTTGCGATTGGATCTTGAATTGTCTGTGTGGACGATAATACTAGCGGCCGCGGCAGAGGACCGTTCTAATGCGACAGCACGACACAGTAATAAAGTGCGCCAGAGCGAGATAATACTTATATGCATCGTGATAATTCTATATCGTAGAACCCTTGGCATCATGAAGCACATACGTCATGAATCGTGTCAGCGCCACCTATCCAGGCACGCGTTGATCCTGTATACACGTGCTGTGACGCACATACTTTTTTTTTCTATATCGTTTCCCAGATGTCTAATTATGAGTGTTGTGATTTTTTATTTTATTTTAATCGCTTCACACAATGTCGAGCAAAAAAAAGGTGATTAAACAAATAGAACTATGTACAATATAGATTCATGTGTATAACGGAACACGATAGGGTCAGCGTTTTAGCTGTATGATGTGCAATGTCAAGTTGAGCATTACTAGTCTAATACATGCAAAATAAGATAACATTCTTTAAGCTGCATGGAGATAAATAATACAAAAACACAACATTCTCTGAATTTTAGGTGAAGTCTTTCTGAACTGTTGTCTGATGAAAGGCAGCAGAAATAGGGCCTTCATTTTTATTATGTTTGTGTGTTTTTGTTTTTGGTGTATGCGGCAGTCGCTACAGACGGGGTTGCATTCACCAACTTGATGGAGGCTGTTGTTTCAAGTCTACCTGCTAGTACAACTGGTCGCGCTACACTACACAATAACAAGAATGAACATGGGAAAAGAAAACTAGAAAACTAAAGCGTACTTTTTAATCATCTCAGCTTTTATTTAGACATCTAGATCTGCTTGAATTGTTTCAACATTTATTAGTTATAATGCAAGTAAAATTTTATTTGTACATTTGTTGTTTTGAGACAGCTAGTTAACGGGGCGAAAAGTAATATTAATAAAGTTAAATTTACACACACACACACACAAACTTTTTAATAACAAGCTTTTAGATAGTTATGCACTAAAAAAAGAGAATAAATTATTTTTTTAAATATATTATAATAATAAACCACTATTTAATTAAATGAAAGAAAAACTTGGGTCGTTTCCTAAATTATATAGTAAGGTATTCAATACATAATATATTCATAAAAACGTTTCTTATTCTCACAAATTAATTAAACATCTAATTAAGTCAAATTTGATGCTACATTGCATTGTCATCGGATCTTGACTCACGTGCCAAGTTTGAAAGAAAAAGGTCCGTCACTAGTAGTCTTAATTTCGCTCGACTGTTTCGACCCATGACGAAGCACTAAGAAAGTTAAATAAAACATTATTTATTATGCATTGAATACTTTTATTAAAATTCAAGAAACGACCCCCCCCCCACTCCGATTATTTTTAGTTACTTAGTGTTTCGCATTATTATAGCTTATAAGTTACATTAAAAACGTGTTATTAAAACGTTTATCTATATACTACTAAAAGTCAAGTTTGTTTACATGTTTGAATATTTTTGTTTGTTTGTTTGTTTGTTTTTTTGTTTGGCTGATTGACTATCTCGCATGGTTGCACTCATCATGGAGAGCTGTAAAATAGTATGTAGGTAGAGATCTCGCATGGTTGCACTCATCATGGAGAGCTGTAAAATAGTATGTAGGTAGAGAAAATTTTTTGTTTTAAGACAGACTGTTAATCACACATTTATTTAAAGACGTTAATTAATTTATTGATTTATTCATACGCAGAGTAACCCTATTTTTTTTACACTCGGCGGGACCGTGACGTCACAGTTTTTTGTTTACTCTTTAGTACAATAAAATGGCGGCGTCTATCGAAGAAAATTGTGTTCCCATTCAAAAGTTTAACGCGTTCTAAATCTAATTTTCTGTCGGCCATAACTTTAACAATACGTCCGTTTGCTGTATTTATTACGTTCCAACACTTATATCAATTTTCAACTGTCTTTTTTCATTTAGTTTTACAATAAATTTTTCTAGATCTAAAGATCAGCTGTCGAAAGAAAGTTATGAATCTAGCGTAGATTCTAGATCTAGCCTAGATCTAGGTCACTAGACTCAATGTAAATTCTAGATCTAGACTTAATGTAAATTCTACATCTAGAATCTATTTCAGGCCTTAATACATCTAGAATCTATTTCAGGCCTTAATTATTTTATATAAATCTTTGTTTGGCTAATTTAAGATAAAATTTAATTTGAAAGTTACTACTACTAGACTTAGATCTAGATCTATGCGCGTAAATCAAGTTGCATAAGGAGACTCAAAGTATGGTATAAAAATTCGTTTGTGACGTCACGAGTAAATAGCTAAGTTGGTAGCGTAGTCCGCTCTCATGCGGGTGGCACAGGTTCTAGACCAATATGTCAATGATATTTTTTTTTCAAATATTTTTTTTTTTTTTAGATGTGAATGATAAAGTTGCCTATCTGAACTTGGCAGGATACAGGGCAGGTGAAGTAGAGTTCATCTGTTTCTTTGTCCTAAGCATATGAAAGGATAGTGTGGTCAGAGACATGCTCGGCTGGAATCGTTTTTTAAACGATAAAAACATGTTGACTGAGACTTGGCGGGACACTGGGCAGGTGAAGTAGAGTTGAGTAGGTCACATGTGACGTCAGTATATGAAGGGATAGTCCGAAATCGGTGTTTTCGGTGTTTTTAATAGATAAAAAACATATTTTTGAATGTGGGGTCTGTTTTTTGTGACGATAAGTGACACTGCAGTAGCGTAGCGAGGAGGGGGGGGGGGCGGGAGGGGGAGGGGAGGCGGGGGAAGGGGAGGCGGGGGAAGGGGGGGGCGGGCGGGGGACATATGTTGGGGCGCCAAATAGGTTTGGAAAAATAAATTGAAAGGTTGAGGGGGTTCAAATCGAAAGTTTGAGTGGGGGGGGGGGGAGGGTGCACATCAAAAGTTTGAGGGGGGGGGGGTTGAAAATCGAAATCTTGGGGGGGGGGGGGGGGGTTAAAATCGAAAAGTTTGTCCCAGGGCGCCGGGAAGGGTCGCTATGCCTCTGAGTGACAGACGTGATGTTTTTTGATGGAATGACCCCCGAAACCCACAGTTATCCAACGGATGACGGGTATTCTAGTTTATTTTTAAAATTTAAATACTTTTTATTGATCATGTTTCTAAACGACAATTTAAAAAAAAACATTAAATAACAGTTTAAAATTAATTTTTTAAGTGTCGTCTTATCCTGAAATAAGTGAGATTTTTAACGATAACAATAAAACCATTTTTTTGCAGTCTACAATATTTTGTGTATGATTCTAGACTATATTCCCAGTTCATGTTCGGCAAACTCAGACTAGGCCCCTACCCTATGCGTAGGCTCAAAATATAAATCTGAACCACAGACCACGTGACATTAATCAATGATATGCCAGGTGGAATGTAATATGTTGTAAGAATATTTTACAAAATATAACTTAATTAGGCTATTTTTATGTAATTAATTTATCATAAAATAATTATAAGTAACCCAAGTATTTAATTATTTGTAACATATTCAAAGATTTTAGTTCTTGCGACGAAATAGTATTTTGACTTAAATTCTGAACAACATAAATGTCCTGGTATATGAAGTAACTTCCTTTTCCGCTGTAGGTTCAGCACCATGAAGGCTAAAGGAGAGGTTCGGATTGAAAAAAAATATATTTATTATACAAAATACATGTTAATAATTTAGATATGTTGTTAAATTAATGTGTGTTTTTAATGGCAACTCTTTTAGTTGCCCTGTTTCCATTTTAGTTGAGTTGTACTCACATTTTTAACAGCTCACATTGCGACTTTTTTCCCCCACGTTGTTCTCGCATGCTGCGCAGGGGCATTAATGCATTTTTTACGCATGCAACCGCGTCTATAGACAGCATAAAATAGCCGCGTTTGCATCATCATCGGTTATTATAACGATAAAATATACGTAAAATCATTTTCCAAGGTTTATCTAGATTTTCGAAACTTGTAACGATAGATGGCTTTCTCTAATTCTATTTCATACAGAAATAAAGTAGATTTTCTCACTAAATCGATTTCTAGAATTTACCCAATTCTAAATTTAAACATGACCACTGAATGATAGACATCCATATTTAATCCATTAGGCACTAATTTTGAAGTTTTTAGTTCGTTTTAAACAAAATTAGGGCCTAGGCCTAATTAATTTAATATTTGTCACTCACTACCATGGACAACACACCTCTCCATGACAACTCTTCGGGTGTGGGGAAATTGCGAGACGCGAAAAGCGAAATGGCGAGGCGGGAAAATGCGAGAAGGGCGCGAAAACGGTCGGTCACGTGACATTTTTGTCTCGCATTTTACCACAACCCGATACTTACGCTGGGTGGTGTTGAAATGCGAAGATTTCTGCGAAAAATTTACCGCACCCGATTTTCAGTGGTATTTGGTCCAGACTTCAAAGACGTTTCGTTTACATTGTTAAAACTTCCGATTTTTCCGTCGCTAGACATACTGATGATTTGTCAACTCCCCTCATCTTTTGTGTCGACTTAGAATACCACCTTGTTCGAAACCGACGGAAATACCGCCGACGATAGATCAACTTCTGTCTTTTGTGTGGAACGCCGAGGCCGCCTGATTTACCGTCTTTGAAGATCGCCGTGCCCGGATCCGCTGCCGCCGCAAACATATTTTCTATTCTTGCATAGAAATTTTGTATTATAGCCGCCGCCTACGATTTTTTTCTAGCTTTTTCTACCATATAAATCTAAGCACAAGGAAATGCCTACATCATTTGGATACAACAAAATAAAATGACGTCACCGATATTATCAGTTGCTCGTGCTATATCGTAAGCTATGGGCCTACTTCAAATATTTTTAAAACCAAGTTGAACTTATCTGAATTTTTTGGTTTTGGTGGTGGTGTTATTTGGGGGTCTTCCATAAATGACGTCACACTCGTAAGGGGGGGGGTCTGTAATTTTATGACGATGTGTGTTGAGGGGGAGGAGGGGGGGGGGTTAGATGTAAAGTCACACTATAAAAAAGCAATGTTAGAAAAAGAATTTTAGACGTTTTTTCGCGTTTTAGAAAACTGTTTTAATACATTGTAATAGGAATTGATTAAAATACTCTATTTTGACATACATTAGACAAGATTTTGGGAAAATATCGATGTTTTAAAAAAACTCAACTGCTGGTGACAACAATGAGCAAGACATTGCCAAAATTACAGAAATGATAAAAAATACAAATTATAAAAAACGGAAAACAGATGTTGAGCGTGCGGATGATGATGATGATGAGAACATGGGTGCCAGTTTAGTTTGTGGGATGAACGAGGAGGTCAACTGTGATGAGAATGTGAAATGTTGTGAATGTGGATTGGAAGAAGTAGCAAAAGAAAAATGTATAAATGCGAGTCTAATGAACTGGGTTGGGTGTACTATGTGTGAAAGATGGTGTCACGAGGCGTGTTTGAGGACTGTTTCAGAAGATTTTGTTTGTAAATTTTGTTTGTAATTAAAATTACTTAATAAAAAAATAAATTGCACTTTTTAGAATTGTTTATACTTTTACACTTTTTGCAAGTACAAAAATCCATAAATATATGTTGCAAAATATCTCTCCTGCTGACAAGATTATACCAATTCACAATGACACAGCTCACGTTTGTATAAACATGAGCGGGCTAGATTTTTAAATTAATGCCGACTGAGACGGGATTTTCCTCTCGCTAACAAGAGCGGGCGATGACAGTAGCACAGCAACGATGTTAGGATTTTTAAATAGATAGATCTAGATATAGATCTATCTATCTTCTTAGTATCTAGATAAAAAATAACAACATACAACACTCGTGTTAAAGGGTATGGCTAAATGCTTGTTTATTTAAAAAAAAATTAAATATATAAAGATGGAAAAAAAAGAAAAACACTTTTTTCGCAAAAAGTGTCTCGCTATTTACCCTTAATTCCGCAGGTATGTCTCGCATTACCTTCTCGCATTTTCCCGCCTCGCCATTTCGCTTTTCGCGTCTCGCAATTTCCCCACACCCCAACTCTTCTTACGTTTGAAGCTAAAGAAAACCACAAATCTGGTTACTTTTTAAGTGGCCATGCACCCAGATTTCCTCACTAGTGATCACCAAATAGCGGTCACGTGGTTTAAAAAGAATAAATTTGGTTGTCATTCAAAAGCCATCGTTTATTAAAAAAAAGTGGTTAGCGATAGGCCCTAAGCCTATTTGTTTGATTTCTTTTTCGAAGTGTCTACTCCGTAGAAGATTTTTCTACCCAACGTCTCCACTTAGTCGGCAAAAGATAGTTCTGCGCAGTTGGCTAGGGCTAGAGTTAGGGATAGGATTATGGTTGGTGTTAGGGTTCTGCGGTTGTAAACACACGCATGCGCAGTACCATCGAAAACATCGCCGCTAAGGCAAGTCGTAGTTTCTCTCCATTGCGCATGCGTATCTTATTCCGGCTAGAATCTGCCTTTCTTTTTACATAGACTGATAAACCTAAGAGATCTAGTTCTGCAGACTTCATTTCATTTTTGTACTCTTCAGGTTGATATTTAAAAAGTTCTAGTATTTTTAATGAAACCAACTTTTAAATTTAGCCTTCATTTTCCAACGCAAATTTTGAAATGCTTTTCTAGCTTATATAGCCTTGCCATCTAGGCTATAGTTTGTTGTTATAGCGTGAAAACCCTGCCATTTTGCTCGTGGTAAACATTTTTAATAGTAATTTGTAGAAGGTCACTGGAGTTCGGCGGAAAAATCGTCGGAAGTCATACGTCCGGTCCGGACGCCATTTTGTTGTTAGCAACCGACCACGCGAGTAATACTAAAATAAAGGCCTATTTTAATTTTTTGTCACTTAATTATTTTTCAATTTAGGCCTACTTTGCAAAATTTACATTCTAGATTCTGGAGCTTGACAATTGACACTGGAACTACTTTTTTTTCTTTTTAATAACTCCTGTCAGATATTATTGCTTTTAAAAAATTATATTTTACCTACTCCGCTGCCAAGGATCCATTTCAAGTTGGCCCGAGTAAAACATTGAACTACATGAATACATGCTCAAACTGAATAAGCATAGGCCTATGGGTAAAAAAACAGTCGTGTTATAGCAAGAAGTGTGCAAAAACCTTCACTCGTCACATGAGTGGTAGGGTTGGGGGAAAAGTTCGAGGACTGCAAACATTCCATGACAATTTGCTTATATCATGCTGATTTACAATGAAGTAGACTGTAATCTGTACATTATGTGTAAGTCCCACAGCTGCAAACCTAGTGAAGTTTGATTAATCTGATATTCTGTGAATTTAACTGCACCAAAACTTATTTTTGTGTCAACTTTTCTAATTGTCCGCTTGAGTATTATCTTGTTTGAAATCACTTCAAATGCCGCCTTTACAATTTCTACTGAAATTTTTGAGTTGCATGGTTGATGTATTTTCACATAAAATATTTTGTTAAATGCAGTCTTCTATAAGGCTAACTAGAATGCATTGTAATAAAAGCAGAGATTTTATTCCAGTGTCAAATAAGTCCCTATAAAAAAGGTGTTTTGTTACTGGAAGTAAACTAAAATGTACACATTGTTTGCTAATGTCAGTACTTACCCCAACTGTATTCCTACATGTCTAACACTGATTTCTAAGCAAAAACTAGTTACAACTATTACAGGCCTATTATACATAGGCCTATCTGCTTTTAGTATTTAGAGTGAAGTGGGGTATTGAGAACTTAGGGTTACCAGGTGTTAGTCAGTAGGCCACGAAGATCTCAATAAAAAAAATGACAATATTTAGAAAGTGTAAACAACTGTTCTTAGATCACAAACAAGCAGGGAATACTTTTTTTTTTTTTTTTACAAAGGATATTTTTGTTAGTATTAAGAATATAATTCAAATGCATGCCATTTTATGGAAAGTGAACAGCCCTTTGTTGCAGTCAACTAGCTGTTACTCTATGATGGCTGCCAATTTACTGCATATTATTCTGGTTGATTTTTCCTTAGTGTCATGTCCTGTAGGCTAGACTACTTTTCCTTAAGTGGCACTAAAATAATTTGCCCATTAAAGTACTCATCTTAAGATTTTTAGCAACCATGTAGTTTAGTCACCCTTTGCTGGTAAAATTTGCTAGCATGTTTAAACTGTCTATTTTAGACATAATTTTATCTCTTTCTTTAAATTTTTCAGTTACAAGAGTACAAGGTGATAGGCCGCGGCCTTCCATCTGAAAAGAACAGGACACCGTCCCTGTATCAGATGAGAATCTTTGCCCCAGATAAAGCTGTGGCAAAAAGTAGATTCTGGTACTTTTTGAGTCAGTTGAGAAAGTTAAAGAAAGCCACTGGTGAAATTGTCAGCTGTAGCAGGGTAAGTGCCTTCTGGTTTTTCTTTAATTTGGTTTGTTTGTGTAGTAACATACCAGGCCATTTACTGTATTTTCAATTTTATGGCAGATTATGGAGAAGAAACCATTAAAGATCAAGAACTTCGGAATCTGGCTACGCTACAACTCTCGTAGTGGCACACATAACATGTACAGAGAGTACCGTGATTTGACCTGTGGCAAAGCTGTAACTCAATGCTGTGAGTTTAAGTTCTTTCTTTGATATTATTGCCCAGAACTGAAACATTATGGAGCTATATTCCTTATTTGTTCATAATCTGTGCAATATTAAAAATTCGGCCAGTCGCCTTCGTTCTTTTTTTCTTAAAGTCTGAAGTGAATCTGGTTGATACATTTTTTTTGTAAGATATTTTTGTCGAAAATTCCTGTTTAATGTGCCCTTGCTCCATTTCAGACCGTGATATGGGAGCACGTCACAGAGCCAGGGCCCACTCTATTCACATTATTAAGGTTGAGGAAATAGCTGCTAACAAATGCAGAAGACCAAGTACAAAGCAGTTCCATGTAAGCATTGGTTTCATCTGTGGGGTTTATAAACTTCTTTTATGCCCTTATTATGGCTTTTAATATTTTGTTGATTTTCTATTCTAGGATCACAAGATCAAGTTCCCCTTGACTAGCAGGGTTCACAGGAAACTGCATGCACCTCGTTTTACTGCCAGCAGGCCACACACCACTTTTTAATTCTGGTTAATAAAAGGCACTGTAATATTTGTGTTATCTGCCTTGTTGTTTTACTTAACTCATGTTTTCTTGCAAAAGTTTGTTGCACATGTACTCATGTATTGTTGTAACAAGTCAATAGTTGAATTGTTGTAAGCAATGTTCCCTCTAAGGCACGGGTTCCCAACCTGGGGGTCGCGACCCCCCTGGGGGTCGCGAAGGTCTTTCTGGGGGGTTGCCAACTGGTATACTAAACCTTAGTAATTTGAAACAAAACATAATTTTTAGAAGAATTTTTGAAATTCGGCTTCATTAACATCACTGGAAATGTACTAGAGAAGAAACAAAGTTCTTTCGTCGGTAAGAAGCTAGTTGCAAACGCCAGAGACTTGATCGAACAGGAAGTTTTCACCAGCATTAGTGCAAGCATCAAATGAAGTCGCGATACAAAATGCCAAGCGAAAAAAAAAAATAAAAAAAATAGGAGGAAATCTCATCAAACGCTGCGTGTACGTAAATGTTAAATAACACATTTTTTTATTGAAATTAAGCTTTCACCATTGTCTGCTTTTCAAGTTGATAAATCAACAGACGTGAGTTCGTGTTCGCAGTTGCTGGTCTGTGTCTATATTCATGCGGATGATACCAAAGATAAAAGAGTTGCTCTTTTGTGAAGATAGCATGGAGAAAATACATATCTTTTTTGAAACTGGATGATTAAAATGGGTTAGAACGGCTGTGGGGGTTTGTACGGATGGTGCGCCACCTATGTTTAGCTCAAAATCGTGCTTTCAGAAAACAGAAAAGATTTAGCTCCCTAACCACTGCCCTAACCAATCGACATCAAGAGACCATTGCTAGTATAAGTCGTAAATTATATAAAATCTGGAGCCTTCAAAGAACTGAAGCTTCAGGGAAAATGAACGAATATTATAACTTTCCATGATAATCTCGGGGCATTTTTATCAAAGCTGCAAAATCTGTAAAGAAAACAAATCTTGGGAATATTGTGAATCTGAGAAACTCTGTGGTGTGGTAGATGAATCTGATTGTGAGATAATTAAAATTTTGAAAGAAGCGATTTATGGGCATCTTGAAACTCTTGAAAACGAACTGCATCGCTATTTCTCTGAGCTGAAAAAAGAAGAATCTGCATTTACGCATTACCCATTATCTTTTTCCCTTGATGTTGCCTCATTCCCGATGAATTACAAGATAAATTCTTTGATTTGCAGAATGATTCCGTGCAGTTTCTTCCAGGCATCTCTTCGGGGGGGCAAAGCCCCCCCCCCCCCCCCGAAAAAATTTTACCGCCCCCCCCCCCTCGAACGAAATGAAATGTATATAATATATATATAGAAAATATATACTTTTAACGGTGTCCGCCCCCCCCGAAGAAAGTTTACCGCCCCCCCGAAAATTTCAAGTGCCCCCCGGAGAAAAAAGTCTGGAAGAAACACTGATTCCGTGTAAGATGAAAAACTGCAGACACAATTTTGGTGTAGTATTCATACTCAAACGTAAAATTGATTGACTTTTCGAGAAAATATTCTCAACACTATTCTTCGATTAAAAACAAAATTAGGATAATTATAATGACATAGATTGGCGTTAACACATTTCTTTTTAAAATTAAAAACTTAACCACGAAGGTTTAGTGAATAGTATGCAATTTTACTCATGCCATTAAAACAGTTATCAAGAGTAGTTCATATTGAAAGTCTACTAGAAAATTTTATTTTAGTGCTTATTAATTTCCATACTGATTTCGGCTTTTTAATTCTATGGGGGTCGCGGGTCACTTACTTTTTATAAAAGGGGGTCGCCACTCGAAAAAGGTTGGGAACCACTGCTCTAAGGAGAAACAGCTAGTGTGGGCTGTTCTAAAAACATCTTATACAAAGATAAATTTATTTTACAAAATCACTATGGCAACTCAGCTTTGAGGGAACACTGGTTGTAAGATTATTTTATTTACCTCCCAGGTACAAATTACACTAAAGTTTTTTTTTTTAAAAAAGGGAAACTGGATATTTGTCCAAGGTCCAATATGTATCAAGAAAAGCGATTATGGCTCAGTAACTATTTTCAATACCAGTCCTTTTTTTTTTTTCTAATAAGTTGTGAAGAGGGCACAGATGCAATCCTGAATGTCCAGATGGGAAAATATTTTGATGCACAGCCTTAATTCTAAATAAACCAATGTTTAACTGCTGAGTGCCTTATAAGGTGTCTACATAACTTCAAGTTTCTAGTTAAGGGATGAAGACTGGTTAATGAGCTTGAGCAACCTTTTTTTGGACATGATCTATATATATAGATATCTGCTGTAATCTTGCTAACTTTTTTTTAGATAGGTGTTATTGGGCAATTTTTCTTTCACTTATTTTAATGACAACTATTAATCACCTGCCCAAATGATTTAACTTCTACACTAAAAGAAAAGAAATTTTGTCCTGCAAATTTTTATTAATACAAATTCAACTTTATTCAAGATGTGTACATTATAATTAACATCTCATGCATTTCATTCAGTTGGATAGAAGTATTAGTAGTAATAGTAGGCCCTTTACAATTACTGTGAGGTTGTGCAAATTTAGTGTACCATTAAATTATACCTAGTAATAGTATAGTTAATTATTGTTAAGTAATCTGAGTGAGGAGGTACCATTTTGGGACAACTAGCAAGGCAACACATGTGAAGACACTACTCCAAACACTATACTAACAGTATTTTTACAAAAACATATTTATTTGTTAAAACATATGCAACAGTTCAAAAGTTGGAAATCACTCTGAATCACAGGCATTTAATCTAACAAACCATTTACCAGGTATTTAGTTAAGTAAATAGTGATTCAAATATTTCATGTTCACAGGTTCTGAGATAAAGGTATACTTTTTCCTTCTCAAAACGCTTCTCAGGTTTTGACTCTTAATTACATTAAATTACAGTATGTATGCATTAAATATTAGCATTGTCACTAAGAGTATCAAGATCAGTTGCCATGTACACAGTAGTGTTAGCCAGAACCATTAATATAAATAACAATACAATAATTTTTTCAATATTGCATTACAAAAAAATGTCCCCTAGTAATTCCTGTTCAAAGGGTGCTCTGCAGCATAACCTCCGACTTTAAATATAGCTTCAGCAATTTGCCTGTTAGTGTCATCAATTTCTAGCTTGTCTGCTTTGGCTGGGGAAATAATAATTATTACAATTACAGTAACATTCTGCATTGTACCATTCCGAGGTATTGTTAGCATTCTCTATATGCTGCCACTGCAGTTAATTTCTTTTTTTAATAAAGAATAAATTTCAGTACACCTTATCTGTAGCAATTTCCTCTAATTACAGTGTGCAAATGTTAGTATAGTCAGAGGTGTAGCGATTGGGGGGGGGGGTTGCGGACAGCACCGGGTGACACCAAGAAGAAAAGGTCAAAATGTATATACAAAAATGATAATTCCACTTAATTAAATAAACGTTGCATAATACGCCTGAGGAAAACGGTTTGGTTGAGCATCGTAATAACTTGTATTAATCCATGAATGGGGGGGTTAAAAAAATTTGAATCCAGAAAAATTTTACTACAAGTGTATGTGATATATATACTGTAAGAAAAATAATTGGGGGGCGGAGGGGGGGGTCACACCTGACCCCAATACGCCACTTAGTTAAAGAAGAAAGAATTGCTAGTAAGAAACTATAATGTTAGTTCAAATAGCAGTTGTCCTACATCAATTACCATTTGTAGTATCATTATTGCTGTCATGGGAAATTTTTCATGTAGCTACCACCCAACTAACCTAAATAGTTTCAGATATATAAGTGGAAGTGTTTTACCTGAATTTAGCTCTTTGATATTTTTATTGATTCTCTGGTCAGCTGTGTAGCAAAATGATCGGGTAAGGAGCACCTGGTTAAAAACACATAAAAAAATAATGTTATGTTCAGTTGGTTTGTCAAAATTATAACTGGTCTATTGGATATCAAATAATGTCTAATACACATTTAGTATTTTATTGTAAATAATATTGCATTACACTTAAGTACAATTTGTGACAGCGTAACAAAATTAACGCCCAACAGTTTTTGTTAATTAAAGACAATATACCTCTAGATCTGAGTTGCGTAGTCCAATGCAGACTGATCTGGATGCCCTACCAATACATGACGTCATTGCATACAAGTCAATGGCAATATCAGCAAGACGACCCAGCTTCATTTGTTCATCAATTATTTTCTGTTAAAAAAAAAACAATGTTTAAAATCTGCAGATATATATTTGAATTTTATAAATCATAAATAAAATTTACTAATGTTTTATTTACACTACAATGAACAATGATAGTTAATAGGCTAGATTTTGTTCAGTTTTAAAAGAACAAATAGCTTCAGCCTAGAGAAAACAATGGTCGGTGTGAAGTTAACTTCTTACATTGCCATACTGTGTCAACAAACTTTCAGTTGTTTCACCCAACGCAGTAAGTCCTGATTCAAGAAGTTTGGCTTCACGCTGAAAGAAAAGTTAATATTCATGTAAAGTTATATTATAATTGCATTTCTTAAACTCGTGTAATGTAAGGATGAAGTTATATGATAAATAGAAAATAATACCTCTAGCAGTGGGTGGACATCACCATGAAGATAAACAGTAGACGCCAGGGTAGATTTGCCTCGAGATTTTCTCCATGATGTTTTAAACAACAAACCTGGATTATTAAAAGGGTCCCTCAGTTTTCTAAAAATAAATTATATTATTTTACAAGGTATTTATTTTATAATAATTGAGCAGCAAGTCCAAACACAATTTGCTAACCTAGCAAAAGTACCCACACAGTTTCTTCACATGCCAAAATTACAGAAACAGGTGAACTCAACTAATATGGTCTGTCCTATTACTAATGATATCAAGTCTGGAAAGGGTTTATTATTTAGTAGATACTTTTGAACAATTAAGAAAATTTCTTTCAAATTTTTCATAAATGCCTAGTTTGAGACGGATGACAAAACTTAAATATTTATCATTTACATCAAAGACTCATGGTACTGATCGACACATTGACTATTTTAGCATTTATAAGTAAAGTCTGATAGAATAGCTTTCTATTGTTGAATCTCAATAAATGTGATAGATACTTAACCCTTTGAGCCCGCCAGGCCGGTAAACCTGCTTCAACATTAGGCATATATGTCCGAAAAGCCGGTTTTCCTGCCTGATGATCTAGCATCATATTCCTAGCGGCCGGTATACCGTCTAATTAAATATAATTAGCGGAAGACTGACTAAAACTGCGATTATGTCTTTTTAGTGCGGGATTATGATTCTAAAAATAGATTTTAGGAAAAGTGAGTGTTTACATTTTGTAGCAATGCCGCCTAAACGAAAAGCTGAGCCACAGCCATCGACTCCAGCACATAAAGTTGGTGCAAAAGGTGAAGCAAAAGACCGAAATATCAACAAAAGAAGTAGAATGACTGCATCTCAGGCAATACAACTACTTATTGATTCTGATGAAGATGATAATATTCCTGGTCTATATTGTGATGATAGTGACGTTGAATTTGAGACTGAACACAGTGACAATGAAACTGTTCAAGTACGTTCTGATGCACGTGGTGCTGTAAAACTTCAGTCTGCTTGACGTGTTGATAATAATTATGTGTTCGTTTTTATATACATTGTTCTGTTCATACATTGTAAAAAAACAAGAAAGAAATTTCCGAATCTTGCTGCATTGTTGTTTGACCGTGAGTCTTGATACCAATTTGGCTTGATTATCTCAAACGGTTCAAAAGTTATAAGCAAAGTTAGAAGCAGATAAGTGAAAATTGGTTTGGCCCTGGGAGCTCAGGAAATGGGAGAAATTAGGTCAGGGAGGCCAGGGCTCAAAGGGTTAAGTTGGAGACAGTATACATTGGGTGAGTGTTTAACGGTAAGATTATACTCTTTAGTAAATTTTTTCAACCAACCCAATAGTTAAAAAGAATTGCACTAAAATAGTGCCAATAAAATGAAAAACTTATTTACATTTTTAAGACACTGTTATAATAGGTAAATCTTGGATGGAACCATCCATACATTTATTTCCAATTATAAAAAATATGTATGTATGTGCATATTATTATGCTTTAGTCACTTCACTCCCAGCATCCATAAAGTACAGCATAAAGATTATATATCACTTTACCAGTACATAAATTTTACTCAGCTTACTTTGTATAAAAATATTTGTACATACTTGATTAGATCCTTCAAGGATTTCCCAGCAAACTGAACACCATTTAATGCCACAAACAACCTCAAGATTTCATTAGTTCCCTAAATTATACAAGAGAAGAAATTTACAGTCGGCCTATACTGTCTTGCAAAGTAAACTCCCTATTTCTAAAAAGCTCCTTTTAGATGGTAAACATTACATCAGCCAAAGATAGTTTTTCAATCTTTATTTTAGTACACATGTAGTAGGTCTATCCAAACTAAAGCAGAAAAAAAGTGTAATTAATTGACATATTTCAAAATAAAGAAAAATGTTTAGGACCTACCTCAAAAATCTGCATAATTCTTGCATCCCTAAGATATCTTTCAAAAGGATAATCTTTCATGTACCCTAATCCACCCATCACCTGTAAACACTCTGAAACACATGTCCAGCAACCTTCGGAGCTAAATATCTGAAACAATTATCAACATTAAAGCTAAAGATTGGTAACTTTAGTACCAATTTTTAAAAAAAATCAACATATTAAATGACATCATTATTTACAATCTTGACTATATGATGAAATAATAGTTCAATGTTTTGCACTTCAGTATTTCATACTTTGACCATTGCAGCCTCCATCGAAAGATCTGGGTCATCATATTGATCAAGAACATTAGAAGTCAGGTAGGCCATGCTCTCCATAGCATATGCTGTGACTGCCATCTTAGCAAATTTTTCCTGAAAAAGACATTCCCTGATATCAAATACCTGAGTGCAATCAAAAGAAAAGGAGTAAAAACAAATCAAACTATTAAATAGCATGTCTGGTAATTAACTTTTTCAAGTAATTTTATAAATTATTTATGATTAAATTCTGATGGTAAAAATGTCTTTTTACTCTATAGCATTCTTGATGGTATCTGAAATTACTACCATCCACTCTAAGGTAAAAGAGAATGAGATGTGTCCAGTTAGTAGGGTAGAACCAAAGAATTACATGTTTACCTGGACAAGTCCAAATTTGGCCAACTTCTGACCAAACTGTGCTCTTGTATTTGCATGTTGTGCTGTTAAATCTGCACATAAATACCAAATGTCTTGATAAATCTAGTTGGCATATAATAACAACTATGAACTAACATTGAATAGCTAGCTATTAAACTGACTGAAGGTGTTGGGTATGCTGTATATTAAAATAACTTATGATAACAATGAAAATATTGTACTGCTGTAGGCCTACATTGAAATGACACTTTTGTGTATTGAAGTGACTTACTTATGAGATACTTGAGTACACCAGCTCCACTACTTCCCATACTAAAGCGGCCACTGTTTAATATTCTCATCGCAAGCTGTAGGTTGAATGAGAATGACAGTACTTAGTACAATTGTAAAGATAATGCAGTTCAAGTCATTTTATTTTAGTTGAATATAGCTTAATCTGTATTTCAATACAGTTTATTAAGCTAAAAATTATTTAGCAACAAGTAATCATGCAACAAACCTTGAATCCACTACCAACTTCACCAATGACATTTTCTGGTGGCACTGGTGTATTGTCAAAGAAGACTTCACATGCTGAAAAGTAAAACAACAAATTCTTCTTTGTTCTAAATATGAATACATGGGAGGATCATACAACTAGTCCAACATCACAGACAAACAACACAGTCATGTCCAACAACAAATTCTTCTTTGTTCTAAATATGAATACATGGGAGGATCATACAACTAGTCCAACATCACAGACAAACAACACAGTCATGTCCAACTCAAGCACCCGTACAATTTTACAAAATACATATTGCACTACATTCATCCATGATGATCATAATAGCCAGTCAAACATTAACAATTACAATTTTAGTGACAGGACTAATATATGTATATAGACACTAAACACATTCTTGTCAGATTGAATAAAGATATAAAAATAAACTAAAACATCAATATAATAAAGATAGGAAAATAGAAACAAAAATATTTTCTTACTGTTTGACCCCCTGATTCCTAATTTATCTTCAGGTTTTCCATTGGTCACTCCACCAAATGACCGCTCTACTATGAAGGCTGTGACTTTCTCTTTTATTTCTCCCTAATGGGTAATGATAAAAGTATGTTAAATATTGACAGTTTAACAGCCATATTAGTGAACAGATACCAAAGGGATCAGAATCAAGGTGTTACAGAGAGGAGTATAAATTATATATTCTGTGTTTGTTGCATAGGTTGAATTAACACAAATAAGGGCACCATTCAATGTTTGCCATTATGTCTTCTTCCTGTTTAAAAAATAAATATTAATTATTTTCTTCTCTTCCGTTAGTCATAAGATGTTACGCCGAAATCCTACCCGAAAAGATCACTAATGTTTACAGTTTATCTCAAAAGAAAAAAGAAAACACCCCAAATGTTGCCCAATGCAGCAATAAACACAGTAATGTCACATATCATGTGATCCCAACAATCCTCTTCAGACCTGACTGTCCATGTCAGATGAAGTAGAGCATATCTGTTTCTGCTTTTTGTATGTAATATGATTGTGAGACCAACACTAAAGCCCTGCCTCCTCAATAAACTTACTTGTTTCATTGATATAAAAATGCTAAACTGCTAAAACATCCATTCAATTCATGATGTGACATAAACTTGTAAGTGCATAGAATGATGATTAAATTTGTTACAACACTAACTCCACTATTAAATTTATTATTGTGACACTAAAATGATCTTTTACACATTACGATATAAACTGATTTTTAAAAATATGTTACAATACAAAAAGAAGTATCAAATGTCTTACCTCTGGTGATTTTACTGGTGTTTTGGCAAAGACAGTAAAAATATCAGCAATTCCACCATTGGAGATCCAAATTTTACTCCCATTTAAAAGCCATGTACGACCATCTTCTGATAAAGTTGCTTTGGTTTGAATGGAAGCTGCGTCACTGCCACTGTGTAAAGAATTATTCATTAAAATTGAGCAAAACAAAGTATAGAACAAACTTATTTGCCAAAGTATTGATGCAGCTAAATAATTTAATGTTTAGAAATAATCAAGTTTTGAAGTTAAGTAATCCTAGTGTTAATTTATTGTCTAGATATTAAAAAATGAATAAACCATAAACCTGGAGGGTTCTGTTAGACAAAAGGCTGCCACATGTTCTCCAGATGCCAGCTTGGGCAAATATTTCTCTTTTTGTTCTTCTGAACCTGCGATTAAAATACCCTGAAAAAAGGTTGATGAAATTCTTATTTAAAAGATGCAAATATCTTTTTAAATAAACAAAAATCGTTTTCTATGTTTCTTGTTAAAAGGCTTGTCAGATATAAAGTATTACTTTATAATGTTTAGTGAATAATTTTAGTGTTGTTTACTTGAAATAAAAACACGTTAATAAAAAGTCTAGTGACAATTTAAGTGCAATTTCCTTATGTTATCCATAACAATTTTAAATTGAGATAAATTATATATTCAGCAAATAAATAATGCAACACAAGTAGTTTCCCCATAGATCTATATCTATATATTGCTATATAGTAAAGTAAAAAGTAAAGTTTCCCTTTCAAACCTGACGGTCTATGGGGCAAGTGAAGTAGAGTTTACTTGTTTCTGTGACCTCGGCATATGAAGAGATAGTGTGGTCAGCACTATGCCCAGCCGCCTTTACTTTCCCTAACATAAGTTAGGTACCCATCAGAGTTGGGTGCACTCAGGGACAGTCTACTGACTTGAACCCGGATTCGAACTCGAGACTTAGGGGTTAGCAGTCCAGCTCTCTATCGCTAGACCACTCCGTCCCAATGCTATATAGTACTGTAGTGTATTATGTATAATGTAATTTTTTTTTTAATTTTGTGACAGAACGAAAGGATATTTTTGAAAACTTTCTTCGGCAATATTGTTCTAAATTATGGCAGGAATCAATTGGTAAATGTTTCAAGTCGCTAAGTGGTCTGGTTGCCGAGATATGGGCCAAAAACTGCATTTTTTTGAGGTTTTTTGACTTTTCCGGGAAATCCAGGAAGGAATTCCGGGAATTTTTTCGGCCCACAATCATCCTCGAAACTTGCTTAACATATTTGCTTTTGGAACTAGTCCTCGATATTGCTGCGTTGAGGAGGAGATACGACTTAAAGCTGCGGACACACATCCATCCATCCAGAAATAACGAATTAATAATCGCAATTGTCAGTACGGAAATTGCGCTAAAAACTTGATAAGTGGTTCATACTGTTCTTGATTAAAATTTATAGACAATTCTGAAAACTAAGACAAATAAAACAGAAGCATAGAAGAGATGTTACCTTCAAACCTATAGCCTGGTGTGCCGCGAGTGTCACAGCGATGGAGCCATCTTTACTTGTCACTTCTCCTACCCGAGCATATGATGTAGCATTTAGGTTGAGACCACCTGTAATATGTTTAAAACATTACCTCATTGAGAAATGTTAAAATTAGTATTTTAAATCTATCTCTCATAACAAATTGACACTCTTTTACCAATTTAAGCAAAACATTGAACAAATGATGCATTACATTGTACTGTCACAAAATAAAAAGTGGTTATATATTTACCATATTTTTCAGGAATTTGCAGACCAAATAAACCTAAATCTTTTAACTGTTGCAAGACTTCATCGGGTATTTTGGCATTCACGTCAATAGACTTGGAATCAACTAGAATTGTTTATTTAATTGTGGGAATAAAGTTGGCATGTTTTGAAAAAAAAACAATACTACATTCATTAAGTTTACAGACTGGAAATAAAGAAAATCAACCAACATCTACTAACAGGATATATTTTTCTGGTCAAACAAACATTATTATAGCCGGCTAAAAATGTTCTACTATGATCATCAAACACTAAAATTTGTGTCAGTGGCTTAGGCAGGGGTTTATCATGGGGGGTTTCCAAAAAAAATTGTCCATACATATGGTTCCATACATGACTAGAATATACAAGCATAAAAAAATATTGCAGTAACTTAATATACAATAATAGTAAATTTTGGTGTCCAATGTGGAATTCTAACCCTTCCCTACCAATGTGACTAAAGCAAGTACATTTTATCTTGTTTTGTACACAGAAATTATTAGATTTGAAATCATATTTTTAGCGCAATTTCCATACTGACAATTGCGATTATTAATTTGTTATTTCTGGATGGATGTGTGTCCGCAGCTTTAAGTCGTATCTCCTCCTCAACGAAGCAATATCGAGGACTAGTTCCAAAAGCAAATATGTTAAGTAAGTTCCGAGGATGATTGTGGGCCAAAAAAATTCCCGGAATTCCTTCCTGAATTTCCCGGAAAAGCCAAAAAACCTCGAAAAAATGCAGTTTTTTGCCCATATCTCGGCAACCAGACCACTTAGCGACTTGAAACATTTACCAATCGATTCCTGCCATAATTTAGAACAATATTGCCGAAGAAAGTTTTCAAAAATATCCTTTCGTTCGGTCACAAAAATTAATTAAGGAAACTGCGCTTAAATTGTAACTAGACTTTTTATTAACTTGTTTTAAAGAAAGAAATGTATCTTCAATTTTCTAAAACAATTAGTTTTACCATTGGCAAAGAATTTTTCAATTGGTGCGATTAATTCATTCAGCTGCTCCAACTCCTCTTTGCTTATCTGTGGGTACTCCAAGTGTTTCTGCAGCAAAAAATATTTATGTTTTAGTAATAAAAACTTAGTACAGAAAATAGGATCAGCTAATAATTGAAAAACTAAACAAATACTTAAAAGTTCTAACAGAAAATAACACAATACATAAACATGGAAGAACTAACTGACAATATCTATATATATAATTCTCTTCTTGGACACCATAGAAAACACCAAGCTGTAAGCGCGCCTCCTAGCAGCCCCCTCTCTTCCTCTCTAGTCATATCGCTACCACACCCACCCCCACATGGTCTGGTAAGCTGTAGTTCACGCTAAATGTTTACAATTGTACAGCAGGGTTTAGTGACGGCTATTAGAATTAGGGGCATATAATTTAGTTTGAAACGATTTTAAACTTAGGGGAGGTAACTAAGAGGAGGCTGCTTTTAGGGTTTAGGGGTTGGGGGGGGGGGGGGGAGTTTTTTCTTTAGTGTTTTAAAGCAAATATTTTCAGTGGCAGCATTCAAATTATGAATTACTGAAAAGTAGAAAATAAAACAACTAAATAGCGGCGTATGATTCGCCGCGGGTCGGCTCGTATATATTATAATGCAAACTTCATGTCATTAAAACATCAGGAATAAAGTATATTAAATCTTAATAATGAAAAGAAGGGAATATTTTTTAAAAAAATATCTTAATTAAAAAAACAACAAAATGAAAACTGCAGCACTTACTGGATCAAGTTTACCAAGAAAAAAGTTTTTTGCTATAGGTTCTGTCAGCTTGGGCAATGGTTCTGTCTTCAGATATTTACCAACAGAGTCTTGGGACTGTTGCTCAGCTAAAGCTTTAGGATCTTTCACATTCTGTATTGAAGCAAAGCATTTGGGAACAAGAACACCAGGATTCACCTTATTCTTGACTACAGACTTGCACATTAACTGCTGCATAGAGCACAGACAATGTATATGTTTTCCACGAGACAACATGGCTAAGTAATTAGAATATCAAATGTTTGTATAACCAGTTAAACAACAGCCTTGGGTAGATCTAAAACTTGTCTTTACTATAAAAAAGAGAAGATGAAAAACATAAAATAATTAAAGGCAATTTATCATTTATTTAACTTAATAATTTAAATCAAATGGTATATAACAGTGATAAGAAAGCTATCAAATTACATAACAATGTGGCTTTTTAAAATGAATATGTATTTAAGAAAGCCCTATATGTATATTTATTTCAATTTCTGTATCAATTGTTTAAAAGATAAGATAAATACTTTAGCCAATTGTAATGAACAGGTAAAGTCCAAAGGTAAGTAGGGAATAGTATGCATAAACAATACTAAAAATAGCGCACAAGGTAGCAGTTAAATAACAGGATTAGTATAGACTTACTAAAAAGTTCTTATGATTTAAGGATTTTAATAATAATATATAAGTAAAGATTCCTCTTTACAGAGAGCGAACCACTGGACAGATGAAGTAGAGTTCATAAAGGGATGCTGTGGTCAGCACTATGTCCAACCCCCTTTCTTTTCCCCACATAAATCAGGGTGACAGGACAAACAAAATATCACATGGAAAATGATCTCAGGACAAATGATCATAAGGACAAATGATCTGAAGGACAAAAGATACTAGAACAAAATATATATGGACAAATGATACCATGGACAAATGATCTCAGACTAATATCTCAGATAAAATATCTCACAGTAAAATATTTATAGTATTTAGGATTATTTTACTTGATTTTAACATTAAAAAAATTGATTTAGGCATTAAGGTTAAGTGTTAGGCATTAGGGTTCATGGTCAGTGATAAGGTTATATCTAAAAACATTAGTTCTACATAGCAGTACACATTGCATAAGTTATTGTTTTGAGTTTATATTTAACTCAATGCAACAAGTCCGCCGGTTGGTTGAGGCTACGCCGGGGGGAACTCCTGACCGGGATTCAAAGGAACGACTCGAAATATCATCCCGTTTTTAAACAATTGTATTAAAAAACTTTTCAGTAAAAAATAAAGACTATCTCATTTACTTTAGCAGTCCCCTTGTGGATGATTATAGATGCCGGTGTCCAATAATAGACTCTTCCATAAAATAGGTGTGTTGGGTTGTTAGTAGTATTGTAATCTCGACTAATTTTATGATTAGAAATTAGAATTAAGGTTAGGCGTATGGTAGGTCCAAGGTTGGGGTTAGCATTGACATCAGCCAGCCATGTGTGTAGCCTATTTAGTTAACTACCAGTAACATAAAAACCCCTTTTTAAAGAAGATTCCATTATCGGACTCCGGTGTAAAAATTCTCACCATCTTGGTTTTTTTTTGTTTGGTAAAATTTTATTTTGGTTAGAGATTCAGGGGAAACCACACTAACTTACAGATGGCGGCTGTTTATTTAAAGTAGCCTAATTAAAGTTAATTTCTGGCCTATAGGCCTATATTATATATATATATATTAATATATAGGCCTATGCCTATAGTAAATTATTTGGTAATCTATCGTTTTAGGTACATAAAATTGCCCGTGGCTAGTAATGTACGAAAACGTTATTTCATTGTCAAGGCTTTAATAGAAGTCTGTATTGATAGGGGGCCTATATTAAAATTATAAAATATATTTGTGTCAAATTGACTCAAATATTATAGATAAATGATTAATAAACCTAAATCAATGACTAAATATATCAATATAGGCCAGAAATTAACTTTAAACAGCAGTGTTTGCTAGCAAGATTTGCTATATAAACAGCAGCCATTTGTAAAATAGAGTTGCTTCCCCTGAATCTCACACTATAAGTTTACAAAAAAAAAACTTAAACAAGATGGCTGTAATAGTAAATGTCAAATGAGCATGGCTGCATCTGTTGGAAACATCGCTAGTCTTCATTTATTACTGAAAAGTTTTAATTCAATTGTTTAAAAACAGGTGCATAAATGAAACAAGGAAACATTTTTGTATTTTTCAAAACTTAAATCCTCCTCAAAATGTGAAATAAATCTAATTATTAAAAGGAGTCACCTGTTTTTTTCACTTTTTCACATTACTAGTCGCGGGCGATTTTATGTAACTAAGACGATATATTACCGGCCGAAATATATCACAATTTACGTCAATTAAAGCCTTAACTTAACAATGAAGCAATGTTTTCACACGGACGGAGTGATCTTGCGGTAGAGTCAGAGAGCTGTACTGCTAACCCGTAAGTCTCGAGTTCGAATCCAGGTTGAAGTCAATAGACCGTCCCTGAGTCCACCCAACTCTGATGGGTACCTTACTCACGTTAGGGCTTAGGGAAAGTAAAGGCAGTTGGGCATAGTGCTGTCCACACTGTGACACTATCTCTTCATATGCCGAGGTCACAGAAACAAGTGAACTCTCACTTTTGCCCCATAGACAGTCAGGTTTGAAAGGGAAACTTTAACGTTTTCGCACATTTCTAGACTAGGCCGATTTTAATTTTAGGCACCTAAAAGGATAGATTACCAGTTATAGATTAGTGTGTAGTTACAGTGTACTGTGTATTCACTGTATTACTCAGAGTGTAGAACTGTAGATCTAGATCTAGAGATCTAGATACTTTTACAATCTGCTAAGTTAGGCTACTCTTGGCTACTAAACTAGAATCTAGATTCTTCTAACTTAGTAGCCAAGAGTAGCCTAACTTGGCCGATTGTAAACTAAATTTTTAAAAAATATCTTTTCATGTATGTAAAGAAAAAGTCTAGACTAAGTTTAAACTAATAAACTTCGTCTTTAAGCACTATTTTAAATAAAAAAATTTACTGAAACTGTTAGTAACAACTAACAGTGATGGCGACTAGTTTCGTTTTCACTAAAAGAGCACGGGTTCCCAAACTGGGGGCGCGACCACCTCTGGGGGTTGCGAAGGGCTTTCTGAGAGGGGGGGGGGGGGTCGCCAACTGGTAGACAAAACCTTAGCAATGAAAAAAAACATAATCATTTAGAAGAATATATGAAATTTGACCTTACTAACATTACTGGAAATTGAATCGAGAAGAAACAATGCGTACTGCGCAAAGTTGTTCTCATCAACGAGTCTATGAAACCTTCAAAACTAATACGTCATGTTTTAGACGAGTCATTCGGAACACACCAAACAGTCGTCGGCATGAAGTTAGTTGCAAACGTCAGATACTTGATCGAACAGGAAGTTTTCACAAAGCATTAGTGCAAGCATCATATGAAGTCGCCTTAAAAAAAGCCAATGAGAAATAGAAAAACCTATCACACAATAGGAGAAAATCTCATCAAACCCTCAATGTTGAGATGGTGAAATTAACTTTTGGGGATTTCAGTGCAGTAAATATGCAACAGATATTTCTGTCTAATAATTCTATTCAGCGGCTTATAGCAGACATGTCTGTAGATGTAAAAGGGTACATTTTAAATGAAATCAAACTTTCACAATTGTTTGCTTTTCAAGTTGATAAATCAACAGTCGTGAATTCGTGTTTGTAGTTGCTTGTCTTGCGAAATATATTCATTCAGATAATAGAAAAGAAGAGAAAGAAGAGTTTCTATTATGTGGAGATATCACGGAGAAAATAAATACGTTTTTTTTTTAAACTGATGATTAAAATGGGAAAACGGCTGTGGAGTTTGTACGGAAGGTGTGCCATCTATGTTTGGGTCAAGATCGGGGTTTCAGAAAACAGCAAAAGATTTAGCTCATTTTGGTGTAGTATGCACCATTCATATCCTCATATCCAAACGTGAAATTGATTGCCTTTTGAGTTTTAGTTCCTTTTGTGTCTACATATCTTTGCGAGAATAAATTTTCAACACTTCTCCAATTAAAAACAAAACAAATAAATAAATTAAATGTTAAGAATGACGTTAACAAAACCTCAACCGTGAATGTCGAGGCTATTTAATAGCATGCAGTTTTACTCATCGTATTAAAACAGTTATCAATAATAATTCACATTGAAAGTCTACTGGAAAATCAATTTTAGTACTGATTAATTTCCTTACTAATTTCGACTTTTTGATTCTATGGGGGTCGCGGGTCACTAAATTTTTATAAAAGGGGGTCGCCACTAGAAAAAGTTTAGGAACCACTGCAGTAGAGGGATAAAATTAATGATTACGAAGCCATCGTTAATTTTAGAAATCGGAACTATCCGTTTCTATTTAAGTCTGTTATTTAAGAATTGTCAGATCTACTTTTGATCTAATTTCTTTGTTTGTCTCGCAAGCGGCGCCTTAGCGAAACTAGCTCTAGGCCATATTTTCTTCCTGTCTTTCAAATCAAATAACTATAAAATACTGCTGCCATTTCCAACCAGACTATGTGCATTAGAAACTTGAAAGCATTAATTTTACACTTATTACAATAAACTGGTAATAATTTATGGTCTTTATGAGATGAGCTCGGTCAAAATTATCACCTCTCAAAATATCGAAAATTACCTTTTTTGCCCTGCCTGTTAAAAAGTCAATAATAATTCTAATGAAAAAGAATTTTTTTCAGCATTTTTGTATCAGGCGAAATACATAACGGTTCACGTTTCTTACCCCTCCATCTTCTCACGTAAACGTCGTCTCAAAACCAGTTACTCCACCCCTTAAGTGCGTGATGTCAAGTCCTAAGCTCCAATATACATTTTGAATAACCTTTGTAGTCAAACTGTTGATACCAAATACCCAAAATGAGTTAGATACTTTATATAGGGTTATCACTAAACGATGTCACATATTGTTTGCTAATGTGACGTCAACTTACGCAGGACCGCAATTTATGACCTATAATGAGGGGGTGATCGGGGAGGGGGTGCGTGACGTCAAGTCAATTATGGAAGACTTCTATAAAGCTGTGCTAAATGAAAATGAGGAACATAAAGCATTTGTTTTCATGCATACTTTGCCATAACGAATGATGATAACTATTGCAAGCCTGTTGTCCTAAGCGGTGTTAAACAACCTCAGCACTTCATCCCCGCCAAAAAGGGCCTACCGGCGAAAATACGCTGCACTATATTGACTCCAAATCAGGGGCGTAGCGAGGGGGGGGGGGGCGGGGGTGCGGACCGCACCGGGTGACACCATTTAGGGGGGGTGACACCAAGGCAAAAAATAGCAAAATATATAGAGAAAAATTTGAGGGGGGGGGTGCAAATCGAAAGTTTGAGGGGGGGGGTGTGCAAATCGAAAATTGGAAAGTTTGTCCCCGGGAAGGGTCGCTACGCCTCTGTGGGGGTGACACCATTAAGTACCGCACCGGGTGACACCCGACCTCGCTACGCCACTGCTCCAAATCAAATAACTTCTGACAATAAGTCTCAAACCAAGTAGCTCCTGGCAACGATATTCGACAAGAGTCCACGACAAGTATTGGCTTGCAGGTAAAATTGGACAAAACAGTGTTTCACGACATGGGGCATAACAAAAGATCAACTCTTAATACGACGGCAGCTAATGTAAAGCCAGAGCTCAGTATAGGCTTGATTTTAAATATAGAAATAGTGTTAGCAGTGGACAGCCTCTAAGACGATGCATTAGGAATACGGCCGTCGGCAAAACGCCCGAGTCCGACGATATCTGAACATCAAGTTTGTCTTTTATGAAGTGCGGAGCACCTTCAAGAGCAGAGCTTGGGGGTGGGGGGGGGGGTGTCCCTGTTGACATCACCACTAGCGCCGCTTATGTCCACGCATTAATCACAAGTTTTGCGTGGAGCTTAATGGGCAGACGAGGTTTATAGGTGGGGCCGGGAGCCTAAATGCATTTACGGAAGCCGCTGTGTCACGGGCATTTTAGAGCCGAACGCCTCAAGGCAGCAGGTTGCAGAAATTAAAAGCGCACGTGAATTTGTATAGTAGAGGGAGAACAGCATGCCCGCAGTGGCGTAGGAAGGGGGGGTCATAACCCCCCCATAGACCCCTCGGTATAGATATATAAAGTATGAGGGGGTGGGTGCAAATCGAAAGTTTGTCCCCGGGTAAAAATTGGACCCCCCCCCTTGAGACGATCCTGGCTACGCCACTGCATGCCCGTGTAATGAATTAAACAGCAATATAATTTACCGAACTAAAGATCTATTCGTCAGACTAAAAGTCGCTAAAGTCTCAACGCGATAGTGTATGTTTTGATTTTTTTTTAATTACGCGGTATCTCTTTCTTTAACATTAGCCTAATGATAAATGACGTCACGCGCGCCGCGAACTTGGTGACGTTGTGCTTAGTGGGGGATGAAACGGCGGGGTTGAGAAAAATGACGTATTTCTTTTTTTTAACAGACGAATAAGTGATAGATTCTAATTTTCCTACGAATTGAAGGATGTTCTAGTTTTTTTCTAGAGGGAGATATGACTATATAGTGGGTGTTTTTGTTTTTCTAATAATGGATGGTGGGGAGGGGTAAACATCGACTACTGAACAAATAAAAAACTGATGAAAGCAGAAGGCAAAGAAAAAAAACCATGTGGTATTCAAATGTAACTAATTAAAATTTAAACCTATTTTCACAAACACAATAATCTTAATTCAGAAAAAGTGTAGGCCTAAGACTAATATCTACAGACAAAATAAACAACTAGGCTTAAATGGGTCACCCATAAATGACGTCATACTTTTCCCGATGAATTCCCTTTCCCCCAATCGTCACTAAAAGCAAGATGATGATTTAATATCATATCGCAGTTCTACTATACCCGAACCCTTAATCACAAGTTTTAACGAAAACGAATATGTTCTTCATCATTAAAAAAAAATATTTTACCCCGTCCCATATTTTGAGTCCAACGTCATTTATGAGGAATATGGACGACCGAACAATTGACAAGTTAATCAGTACAAAAGCTATGTATATTAAGAACAAAGTCAACACAATATACATACGAATAGACATTTTTATCAAGGGAAACTACTCTAAATTTTTTTTGGGAAGATGGCCGCTGTGTTTATCTACTAATATTTATCTCAAACACCTTGTTTAAAGTTAGTTTCATGATATTTTAAATTGTTTTGGTCATTGATTGTTATTTTTAATTAATTATCTGTTATATTTTGTAACATTTGACTTAATATTAAATATACTTATTTAAACAAATTTATTCATCAGTTACATCTCTCGCACATTACTGAGTCATTACTGAGTCATTAAATTCATTAAATTAATAATAAAAATATAATAGTAGTAGTTTAGTTTAGTAGTTTAGTTAGTTTAGGGCCTACTTCATTACTCATGAGTCATTACATTGTGATTACGGTAATCTATCGTTTTAGGTACGTAAAATCGCCCGCGACTAGTAATGTGAAAAACAGGTGACTCCTTAAATTTTAATAATTATTTCGCATTTTGAGTAGGATTTATGTTTTGAAAAATACAAATATGTTGCCTTGTTTCATCTATGTACCTGTTTTTAAACAACTGAATTAAAACTTTTCAGTAATAAATGAAGACTAGCGATGTTTCCACCAGATGCAACCATGCTCATTTACTATAGCAGCCATCTTTTTTATTGTAAACTTATAGCGCAAGATTCAGGGGAAGCCACTCTAACTTACAGATGGCCGCTTTTTATATAGCAAATCCTGCTTGCAAACGCTGCTGTTTAAAGTTAATTTCTTGCCTATATTGATATATTTAGCCATTGATTTAGGTTTATTATTCATTTATCTATAATATTTGACACAAATATATCACAATATACTTCTATTAAAGCCTTAACAATGAGGTAACTTTTTCGTACATTACTAGCCGCGGGCGATTTTCCGTACCTAAAACGATAGATTACCCTCATTACTACTGCAGCCTAATTGATTACGTTACGCTGCGGCTAAAACGATAGATTAGATTAAATATTTTAGTATTTAGCCATTGATTTAGGTTTATTATTCATTTATCAATAATATTTGACACAAATATATCACAATATACTTCTATTAAAGCCTTGACAATGAGGTAACTTTTTCGTACATTACTAGATCTAGCCGCGGACGATTTTACATAACCTATACTATAAAACAATAGATTACAGAATCTTCTATTCTTTAAAAAGGTTACTGGTAGAATTCTAGATCTAGAAATCTAGTACTAGTTAGTTAGGCCTGACTAAAATACACTACACACATGGCTTGCTTATTCAAATATTAAATTTAAATCATGAAACAATATTGGTTCTTTTATATGCAAATTTGAATTAATTTAATAAATTAATATTAACGAGCCGGCCCGCGGCATAACATACGCCGCTATTTAGTTGTTTCTAATTTTCAATAATTCATAATTTGTGAATTCGACAGTACCAACGCTGACACTGAAAATATTTCTTTAAAACACTATAAGTAGCTCGTTAAGGACCATAACCCCCCCCTTCCTTCCCCCCCCCCCTCCCCCCCTACGTTTAAAATCGTTGGCTCTGCTTGTAAACATTTAGAGTGAACACAGCTCACTAAAACCATGTAGGGGTGGGGAGGTAGGGAGAGCGTTTGCAGCTTGTTTTCTAACGGCTCGAAGAAGAGAATTATATATATAGATAATAATAAAATAAGTCTACTTCTGTCTTCACGTTCTGCAGTGACATTTGCTATCCCAACCCTCTTTCTGTAAATATGTTTTTTTTCCCGTTCTTTTTGTGGCTCACCAAGCAATACTTCCACTCTTCCTTGTTCTTGACACACTTGTATCACAATCACAATTTAATCAATCAATCCAACGAATACAATATCAAATTTGTTTTATGCTATCCGCAATGAACGAACCTGGAATATAATTAATATTTTGTCGGTATTTAACATGTAGTCCGGTCAAGGAACGTGATCAGTCAACTTCATTCGGTTTCTTTCATTTCTTTGCGACACATGGTGGTAACACCACTTATCTGTTTATCCTTTGTACACTCCCGTCATCTCCAGCTGCTCTCCCATTGTTCACCTTATAAGGATAGCAAATAGCATTGTCTCTTGTCGTTCCGCCTTATTGCCTGTGGGGGGAGGATTCGATGGCTTTTGACTTCTATCTTTGATGGTTTCTCACATTGTTGACATAGAAGGAGCTATGAAAACACTAGTTTTCGCGAAAGTTAGCTGTTAATCCTAAGTGATTAAGATACTCCCGTAATCTCCAGTCGCTAGGACCCAATGGTTCACCTTAGAAGGATACCAACTAGCATCGTCTCTTCTCTTGAAATTTCAGTCTTATTTCATTCCTTACTTCGATGGTTGTCTAGATAGGAGCTATGTAGTAACAGATCTTTTGTGATATTAGTATTTTTATGTCTGTCTGCCTTATGGTCTGTTGGCCTTATGGTCTGTTGGCTCTCTGCCTAATGTCTTGTCGGTCTTTTGGCTGTCAGCCTTATATCCATGTCAGCCTTTTGTCTTGTCTGCCTTTTGGATGTCTGCCTTTTGTCCTACACCTGCAAAATTCACCAAAAAAACTATTCTATAATTATAAAAAGCAGTGTTAAACTGTACAGCAACCAATTCTTGAAGACTAACATAGAATGGCCTTGAGTCATGTAGTATATTATTTTTTATATTTTTGGACAAAAGATCATAATAAATGGTTTTTAGGGAGGTGAGAGACTTAGAGGAGAGAGTTGTTTTATCTCCTCACTGCTGGGCCTAGAGGGTCATTAATTACATAGCTCATAGAACAGCAGTGGTTGTTACCTCAAAAGTCAATAATTGTTTATTTGAGATTTTGTTGGGTGGCGTGCCAACTGGAGAGTAATACCACTTGGGACAGGCAGCAGTTTCATATAGTTCACTGGTGGAGTTAATATCTTTCACTAGTTATATTGAAATTTTGATAATATTGCATTGTCATCAGAGATTCATAGGTGCTTAGTGTGAAAAAAAATCATGATGGGTTTCATTCTTAACTGTAATCCTATGTTGACAATTAAGGAGTGATAAAACATTTTATTCTAAGCTACCTTGTGTTATGCTATGTGTTAGCAGATGTATGTATATTGTATGGGTCCTAACAAGTGATGCATGCTGACTGTTGTATTTTTCTACTTTTAGAATTAAAATGTCTGGAGGGAACAGGGGCAAGCTCAAGAGTGAAGATGAGGAGAGGATAAAAAAAAACTACCAGCTACTTAAAGATGAAATTGATCCAAAGTATATAGTGGATCACATGTTTTCACAAAGTGTTTTCAACTTAGATGATAAGGAAGAAATCCTTTGCCACCCATCCAGAGGAGGAAGAGCTGAGGCATTTTTAAACAAGCTTTTAAATGCAGGACCAAACAAAGCCTATGCCATTTTTGTTAATGTTCTTGAAGAAGAATACCCCCATGTTGCGGAAAAATTAAAAAGCACTGTATTGGATATAAAATTAGAAGAATGTCCATGTAAGTTTTTTTTTTAAATTCTAAGACAACAACATTTGGTTACATTGTTTCAAGATGCTTAAGTTAAGAATGTGTCAGCTTATTAGTTACAAATATTTTTAATAAAATTCACATTTGTTTGCATCCACTCATCTATCAAAATTTTTGTTCTAGTAAATTTTATCACTAGTGTTCAATAAAGTGTTATTGACTTCAAAATAATTTTTTTTATCTTGCACAAATAATTTTTATTTATGAAATGGTGTTGTAAATATACACTTTACATTTTTATGTTGCTTCTAGGCTTACTTATATATTCTCTTAGGTTCTTGTTATATAAAGTTTACCAAATATTAAAGATACTGATGCACTAATTTAGCACACTTGTGTAGCAGTTCTTATAATAATACTTCAGTAAATTGTAATGATAAATATAATGTTTTTTGTGACATTTGTAATGATAAACATTCTTTTGTTTGAACAGATTCCTGGTTTGATGATAGCAGTGACATCGATAAAAACCACAGAATCACTCAAGCTGAAGCAAGCCGTTTGGCTTCATGCTTTGGAAAAAACTGGGAACATGTCATGCTTCAATTTGGCCACAGAATGGCCTCAATTGAAATAGAACTACAGAGCAAAGGAAATAATATTCGTTTAACCATTACCAACCTGCTAATTAGATGGTGCCAACAGCAGGGAAACAATGCAACTTACAGAAATTTCATAGATACACTGAAAAAAGCAAGTGAAACTCAAGTAGCAACAATAGATTGGGAGGGCATACAAGAAATAATGCTGTTACCAAGTTAATGTAGTCTACTGCCATTTTACACAACTAGCTTCTTTTACCAATTTAATGTACAGACTGACACAACTAGCTTCTTTTACCAATTTAATGTACAGACTGACACTGTTTCATACTACTCTATTTTTCTAGTAAGCTAATGAAAAGTCTAATTTAATACAACAAGATTTTTGTTTGAAATTAACTATTGCATAATTGAAGCAGTATTTCATTATGAGACAGTGTACAACCATAGCAAGTTTGCCAGTGAAATTGGGATGTGCTGTGTGTGTTAGCAAGTACAAAGATTCTGTTGCTGCAGTATGGGGATGTTTGTTGTGATAGATCATTTGTGTAATGTCTGGATGACATGGTAGGGAAGACTGTGTCCTAACTTTGTCTCTTTCATATGGTTTGTTAAACAGAAAATTGATATGCGATCATGAGTAAGCTTAGCTTTTACTTGAGTGTTGTTGCTGTACAATAAATTTTATGGGATGTTCATGATTTTTTTGTAATATAATTTGCAGTGGATTGTGTTGAAATTAAACCATAGAGGTATAAATGACAATTATTAACCTCTCACATCCTGCCTGATGTGGTCCATGGTTTGAAGACTACACCTGCCCACCCACTATCTTTTATTTCTTCCATATTGACTTTTATATTTTACCCTGTTTGCCTTTTTACTCTTATTTAACATAAATTTTGATCATGTAGCATTGAATTATTTTCTCATAATTCCTTCTACTTATGAATACCAGCACCTTCAGATTTGGATGGAAAATATTTATATTATATTAAAGTTCCAGAATTTTAAATCCTAATCCTACACTAATTGAATTTTTACATGAATTTGTAATTAATTAATTACATCATTGACCTATGAGTCACTGTAGTTGCATATCATAAAACACATAATATATAACCTTGAAGTCTTGTGTTAGGTTCCTGTATTTTCTTAAGTCCACCCATTGCTACACAGGGTAATGCCTACTGGAGTAGAGTTTGGGAAAGGAAAGGCATAGCTATATAATTTAAATAAGGTAGATAATGATTGTTTCTCACATTTTGAATGCAGGAAATTAAGTTATTTTCCAACACTTGATGTAGCAACAGTGATGTGCCTTGATTATCTTAGGTATTGCAACTCTATTTGATCAAGGCATATTACTCTCATTATGTAAGCTTAACTCCCCACACATAAGTATTTTCAATATTATTTATTATTGTATTGTTTATCCTTGTTTTAAAATAAAAGAATGGATTCAAAATGTTGGTATAGTATAATTTATCAGGTTGTTGAGATTATGAATATATTATTTGTTTTAATCTCTCTCTGTGTTTGTAGTTATTGGATTATTAGGTCTATTTTAGCACCATACATGCCTAAGGAAAAAAATAGCTCTAATGACAAAGTTATAACATGTAAAAGATTTTTAAAAATTCTAAACACTAAACAAATAATCTAAAAATTATTTCTTTTTATTAAGGTATGAGTATAATATAAAAAATATAACAGGCATGTAACAAATAAATAAAACAGCATTTTATCAGCCTATACTATAAATATTTGAACAAAAACATTTTAACAGCTGTCAATAGGTCAAGCAATGTAATGGTCTATTGCTGTGTTTTTTTCAACCAATGTTTATCATTACATTGTGACACCTTAAAAAAGAGTACCAACTAAATGGGCTCATGCAAGCACCTAGTGCTTTTTTAAAAATTACCTTAACTAATTTGTAAAAAGTTACATCATCTTTATAAATCAACAGTCATACTTCAAAATAAAAATGTCTTTAACTTTTGATATTTTCTAGTCAAGAAATCTGTAAGTATTGTAAGGTGAGTGAACTATTTGTTCATATGCTATTCCTACTGAATCAGATAGCATGTACAGGTCCATTATTTTTTATAACTAATATTCCAAAACATTTCTGAATTTTTAAAAAATCAAAATACTAAGTGTAATTTTAAAATGCAAATTGATAATTCAGCCTAAAATATAAAACAAATACTTTTGATTGTACAGCAGTCACACAGCTGTATGGCCTGAAGTATGGCATTGAAAATTAAACCAACCCCATAATAAAGAATACTGGCTGTAATTGTACTATTGTAGCATCTAGAACAACCCCACGAAAGACAAAAATAAATTCCCGAGTCTAGATGGTCCCAGCATTGACTAGGTTATGCTATCTCTGTAGTTTTCATTCATTCCTTGCTGCATGTTGTCAGAACTCACAGTTTACTAAATATTAAACGTTGCTGATGCTTTTTCTAGTCCTTGAATGCTGAAAATTTTAAACAGAAACAATTAAAAATGATTTTGTTCACTGAGTCAATAATTATCAATTTAGATTGAAAACTGTCATATTTAAAGAGATATTTCCCCTCCAGCCACTGCCAAAAGTTTGTCATCCTTTTTGATGGTGGGAAGTGAAACCCAGTTTGAGTCAATAACAGACAAAGGGTGAATCAATTGAAAAGTTTGAAAAACAAAAGACAAACATTATTTTAAAATATTAGATCATACATAAAACAGTTTAATGTAAGAAAATACCTGAACTTTAAACTAGAATTCGAACATTATTTGTTCAAAAATATCTCACTGACCAACAGCTTTTTAAAGAGTACAGTAATATACATATTTTACACACAAAAGATGTTTTATGGTGACTGTGAGGAGGGGGTGGGGCACAAGGTATTTTTATTATGCAACAAGGTTGAAGAACACAAACTTACGCTTCTTTTTTGAAAGTCTTCAAGTTTATAGCATCTTCTTCATGTCCAAGAGGCATGGGATTAAAATCTTTTGCTCCAACAGTTAACATAGCTGGAACAAAAAAAAACAAGGTAATATAGTAATCATACTTATGTGCTTCAGTAATGAAAATAAACATGCTATTTACAAGTGTAGCAATTGAGTGAACATATAATAAATGCTTTACACCTTATTTCTCTTATTTCTGTGGAATAATTATTGACCTGTCAACATATGCTTAAATTTAAGAACAGCTTACCCACAATATATCAATCATCATGTTATTGAATTTAAACTATTAGAATACTGGAACTGATACAAATTTTCCTTAGCAAGAGAACACAATTTTAATAATTGTTACCTTCATTATATTGTTTTAAAGTAATATATCCCCGTCCAGTTGGGTCCAGCATACCAAACACAGCAGTTATATTTGATTCGTCAAACAAACAAGGGTGTTCACCTTTCATTGCCCTGGACTGCTGGAGCTTCTCTAGAGTTTGTATCAAAAACGCTTTTGGATTATCTGTGGATGGATTATTAAAGGCATATTAATAATGAAGCTGAAAATGTATTGCAGTTAAAGAAATGACAGTGTTTATAGCCAACTTAAGGTATTTGATGAAAACAATCTATGATAAGAAGCTGAAGTTTACGGGGTTAGTAATGAAATTTTTGCAACTTTTTACATCTTTAATTAATTGTTTATTTAATTATAATATTAATAGTTCATTACTAATTACGCCTACATCGAGAAAACTATAGATTTAGCTAAGTTATTATCATATTATTTATTGCACAATTACACCCACGCGGAGACACCAACACACAACCATAGGCCTATATTATAATAGTTATAGGCCTTAATTAGTTTCAAAACATTTTACTGGTTTTTAGTATTGACCATGTAACAGTATTAGTTATTGACATTAACATGATTATAAATTTATCAAAATGACAAACCATATATCTTATTGTGGTAAATAGACTTACTATTGATTTCTTTCACAAGATCAATGAAATAATAGTCTATGAATAGGAGTAGTTATTAACATAGATAAATTAGGACTTTGGCCATTGCTCGACCCATTTTTGAACTGTTGTCTTGGTAATGATAGTAGCAGAAAAAGACCAATCCAAGTTTTCATTTTTATACTTAGTAAAGTGGTAATTTAAAAAATATATATTTCAATTTTCAGTCAGTTTTATCTAGCAAATTCTGCAAACATACTGATCAGATTATAACAGAATGCTTTGAGTTTGCCTTACACTTGGCATCTGCAGTCAGTGCATTGGTTTGATAAGCTGAATATTAGGGAGTGGAAGATAATGTAAGAAATCATGTCTCATTGTATATAAAATCATAAATATGAGATGGTAAAACATTGCTTGCAAATAGAAAATGCAATGCCCTGCTATAATAAACTAATTTGAATCAGTGACAAAAATTCTTGAACTTGAAAAAAATTTCATGAAAATTATAATTTGATTGAGAGAACACCCACCAAGGCCACCCATTTTGTCCACCATGTATTAAAATATTTGCATTGGAAGATCTCTAGAAATGATGCCACATTTAGGCTGTAAACAGTCAATAGGGTCACAACAACACTTTTTAAAAGTTAACCCACTGTAACAATAGGCTACAGCATTGTAACATATATTATATAAATATAATAAATATGTCATTATAAAAAAAAAAAAAGTAAAGTTTCCCTTTCAAACCTGACGGTCTATGGGGCAAGTGAAGTAGAGTTCAATTGTTTCTGTGACCTCGGCATATGAAGAGATAGTGTGGTCAGCACTATGCCCAATGTCATTATAACAAACACATTTTTTTTCACAAATCATTTTCTAGGCTACCGATTTATTTTGGTAAGTAATTAAAATTGAAATCAGTTTCCAATCAAAATAAATTAAAGGCATAAAAAATGAACATGTGTTTGTTTTTTTGAGTTTTGAGTGTTACTATTAAAGTAATAAATACTATTAGTAGGCACTAGGCCTAAGTACTTTTTTTTTATTAAGTAGGCATATTAGATTAGATCATTAAATTACTAATTCATTATATCATTTCATTATATCATTAGATTAAGAAGACACTTACAGTGTAAGTCTTACACACTTAATCATTAAGTAAGTAGATCTAGTAAGTAGTAGGCCTACTAAGTAGTAGTAAGTACTAAAGTACTTAGTCAGTAAGTACATTAAAAGTAACATCATTAAGTTTTTATCTAGGTTTCTACTCTAATTACTACAGCTAAGCCATTTATACTTTATACTTTTATATTTAGATCTAATAGATCTACTTCCACTTCTTGCTTGCTTGATCAGTGATCTACCTTACTGGTCCTTAGGTCCTTAGTAACTTAGTTGGTAATCTATCGTTTTGGGTACGTAAAATCGCCCGCGGCTATTTATGTACGAAAACGTTATCTCATTGTCAAGGCTTTAATAGAAATATATTGTCATACTTTTGTGTCAAACATTATAGATAAATGAATAATAAACCTAAATCATTGGCTAAATATATCGATATAGGCCAGAAATTAACTTTAAACAGCAGTGTCTGAGAGCAAGATTTGCTATATAAACAGCAGCCATTTGTAAAATAGAGTGGCTTCCCCCTGAATCTGGCGCTAAAAGCTTATAAAAATAAAACTTGGACAAGATGGCTGCTATAGTAAATGAGCATGGTTGCATATGTTGGAAACATTGCTAGTCTTCATTTATTACGGAAAAGTTTTAATTCAATTGTTTAAAAACAGGTACATAAATGAATCAAGGAAACATTTTTGAATTTTTTAAAACATAAATCTTCCTCAAAATGTGAAATAATTATTAAAGTTCAAGGAGTCACCTGTTTTTCACATTACAAATCGCGGGCGATTTTACGTACCCAAAACGATAGATTACCACTTGTCACTTAGTTCCTTACCTTGCCTTTCTGTTTCTTGATTATTAGTCAGGCCAATTTAATTAGTAATTACGTCTTAAATTAAAAAAAACGAAAATGCACCTGGTCTTTTATAAATAAGCTGAGCTGTTAAGTTATTAAACAAATCCATAATTCGATGTTTATAAAGATATTCCTGGGCTTCAACAGTTCTAAGTACTGTTTTTTGTTTCTTCGGAGCCGCCATTTTGGGTAGTACTAAAGCTGTTGTTATGGAAATTTACTGCGGTCTGGATTGAAAGTAAATATTTTAAATCATTTTTAAATGTTGCTCTTAGTTTTAATAATTTAAAAGTTACTGTATAATCGTCTAATTATGATTGAAGAGTATATTTTAAACATTCAAAGTCCTAGATGTAGGCCTCTGCTAAGAAAAGCCTTAAAAATAAAAATAAACCTTTGTTTTGCTGCGAAGCTGCAATATGTCTGCGCCCTGCAAGCGTAGCAGCTAACTTTAACGTTTAAAAGTAATATTAATATTATTATTTCATAATAATTTAATAAACAGAAGCCTAAACGCAGGTAATTTGTAAAAAAAATATAAAATTAGAAGGCTTATGCTAAGTAGAGATCTAGATCCAAATCTGAAAGAGAATATAATATTGAATATTCAGGTAAACCTCCATTTTAGCGTATTTTATTCTCCATTGCTTGTTTACCTCCAGTTGAGCGTATTTTATTATAACAACCGAAACACACCAAAACATTAGGAAAACACGATTTATTATTTGTATTGTATTTTTGTTTTCACAAATGAATAAAATGAATGTTTAAAAAACACGACTTGTTTATTTGTATTGTATTTTTGTTTTAACCCTCTTAAGACGTAGCTTTTTTAGAGAGCCGGTGCTAAGAAGACGGAGCCTACTGTCAAGTTTTGCACTTGCATCACAAAAAAATTTTGAAAAAAATAAACTAATTATTTTACATGCATAAAAATATATATTATTTATTAGGAAATTGAATGAGCTAATATGATTTTTATAAATCTAATAAAAATCTCAACATATATATATGTGAGCTTTCTGATTTGCATAATTTATGCACGAAAAAAATTTGACGGCACTAAATTACAGTAAATTTGTATAAAAATACGTTTTTTCTCTCTGTAATGCTAATCTAAATAATACACAAACATCTATTCAATAATCTGAACTAATTTACTAATTATTATTTCTACATTAGAATTTCTAAGTATATTTTTAGTATATTTTGATGACTGGACTGTTGGACATAAAAAAATTTACGATAGGACTCACGGCACTAAAAAAATCGATAAAAAACAAAAACATGAGGCAAACTTTCAATGGAAGTCGCCATTGAAGTGCTAGATATGTACTATAACAGTTAGAAGCAATCTGATTGGCTGATATGATACTAGAAAGCCAATCGTGTGGCTTCTACTATCACGGCTGAGACCCGGCCGATAGATCGGCCGGTCGTCTTTTTGGCTATAAAACCGGCGGCCGATAGATCGGCCCGGGCGTCTCAAGAGGGTTAAATAATGAATAAAAAACAACAAAGAGGCTGACTGAAGTGCTTTGTTCGTTGGTTACAAAAATAGAGATGCACACTTTGTAAAATTAAGTGTTCCAATTTCAACTAAACTGAATAAAAGTATTAAAAGGCACAATAATGTTGCTAAAAGTGGGCCGGGGGTGGAATTTGGTGAGGGATGGCTTGGAGTGTTAGAGAAAGTGTGACAACTCACGTCATTTAAAAAAAATAATGTTAGAGGTCGTCCATAAATGACGTCACATTAGTAGGGGGAGGGGCAGAGTCGTAGCGTGGTTGACACCATTTAGGGGGGGGGTGACACCAAGGCAAAAAATAGCAAAATATATAAAGAAAAATGATAATTCCACTTAATTAAGTGATTAATACGAGTGTTAAATAGTCTTTTAAGAGGTGCAAATCGAAAGTTGAAAGTTTGTCCCCGGGAAGGGTCGCTACGCCTCTGGGGAGGAGGGGGTCCGTAATTTTGTGACGGTGTGTGTTGAGGGGACGGGGGGTTCAGATGGTGCTACGTCATTTGGTGGGGGGGGGGGTCTTGCTTTTTGTGACGACACGCTTTTTTTTTACGATTTTTACCTCCCCCTCCCCTCCGTTACACGTCGTCACAAAAAGTCAGACCCCCCCCCTAAAATGATGTCACACCACAGCCTACACCCCCCCCCCCCCACCCCTCAAAATTTCTGTTGAATTTTTCTTAAAACATCGATAATTTTTCCAAAAGCTTGTCAGAACTCTGTCAACAGAGTATTTTGATCAATTCCTATTACAATTTATTAAAACCGTTTTCTAAAACGCGAAATAACGGCTAAAACTCGTTTTTCTAACATTGCTTTTTTTATAATGCAAAAAAGTGACGTCACACCATCTGAAACCCCACCCCCTCCCCACACACCGTCACAAAATTGCGGACCCCCTCTCCCTTACGAGTGTGACGTCATTTATGGACGACCCCACGTCAATTTTTTTTTAAAGCCAGAAATTTACTCATACAAAAAATCATACTTGATACGCCTACATATATCAAAATATTTGGAAGGATGGTAGAATTACTATGAATTTAAATAACATACAACTCTATAGTAAAAATATTTTTTTCAGTTTTGGCAAAATTGTCAAACAAAAAAACACAGAGTTTGTAGGCCTTCATTTATTGCATAAATACAAAAAATATAATACAGAATAATTAACAGTGTATCAGTTTCACCATGAGACAAATGCCTTTTTAAAAAAAATACAATACAAATAAACAAGGCGTGTTTTTTAAATATTCATTTTTATTCATTTGCTAAAACAAAAATACAATACAAAAAATAAATCGTGTTTTCCTAATGTTTTGGTGTGTTTCGGTTGTTATAATAAAATACGCTCAACTGGAGGTAAACAAGCAATGGAGAATAAAATACGCTAAAATGGAGGTTTACCGAATATTCATATTTTGTCACTTTCTAAGTTTCTAATGACGCCGGGTCAGAAGACCTGCAATTATTGGCAATGGAGACAAGCGAGTTGACGAGATTCCTTCCATCCATAGTGTTGTTGTCATGGAATAAAAACATGCTTTTTAGATTTAGACCGTAAAAAAAATAAAAAAATAAAAACTTAAGCCTAAAATTAATTTAGAAATTTTATATTTTTAGAATAAATGCTATAAAAGTTGCAAATCCAGAGAACTAGAAAATAATTTGTTGAGTTTAAGGCTACATTTCTATTTATTTTCATCAAGCCTAAGCTATAACCGGATGTTTCACTTTCGTAAGACAAATATTGATTGGCTGTACAGTAACTTAGTGATCGATAACTATTTGTTTACAAAACTTTGCAGATCAAGTTTTTAAATAACAATGCAAATTTAAAACCCCATGACCTAGTTTTCTATTTTTAGCTTACAATGTGTACAATAAAATTTTTGTCGGCCTATCCAATAGCAGGATGCCATTGTTTATGTCGCCATTACACGTGAAAACCAAATTGTTTTTGCTTTTTTTTTAAATTTTTATTTAGTTACCGAAAATATTAAAAACATCAAATACGTCCAATCTTTAGTAAAGTCCGAAAAAAACCAGACAGACAGGATTTTATAACCATATTAATTGTAACTACGCCGTGCAAGAATTTTAAATTAATTTATGCACCTCTCAAATACCTTTGAGACTTTTCTCGCTTGTGTCCATTAAGGCAGCAATTAATAATTTATATTTTATTAGGCTAACTTATTTACTTATTTTATTTAGGCCTATTTTAGCCTAATAACAGATTAATAGGGCCCAGAAGCGTAGCAAGGGGGGCGGGGGGGTGCGGACCGCACCCGTTGACATGTTTAAAGTTTGATTAATGTACCTGTTTTTAAACAATTGTATTAAAAGGGTGTTGGGAAATTGCGGGGCGCGAAAAGTGAAATGGCGAGGCGGTAAACTGCGAGAAGGACAGGAAACGGTCGGTCACGTGACATTTTGTCTCCCATATTACCACTACCCGATACTTACGCTGGGTGGTGTTAAAATGCCAAAATATCTGCAAAAATTTTACCCGCACCCAATTTACAATTGTATTTGAAGCAGACTTCAAAGACGTTTCATTTACATTACAGTTACTAAAACTTCAGATTTTTTCGTCGCTAGACATTCTGATGATTTGTCAACTTCCCCCATCTTTTGTTTCGACTTAGAGTACCACCTTGTTTGAAACTACCAGAAATACCACAGACGATAAATCAATTTCTTTTGTGTGGAACACCGAGGCTGCCTGATTTACTGTGCCCGAAGCCGCTGTCGCCGCAAACATATTTTTTATTGTTGCATGAAGATTATACCAATTCACAATGACCCCACTAACGTTTGTAAAAACATGAGCGGGTTAGATTTTTAAAATTAATGTCCACTGAGACAGGATTTTCCTCTCGCTAACGAGAGCTGGCGATGACAGTAGCACAGCAGCAATGTTAGGATTTTTTAATAGATAGATCTATCTTCTTAGTATCTATCTATATATATATAATGAAATCTAGATAAAATATAACATACAACACTCGTGTTAAAGTTAAAGGGTATGGCTTGTTTAGTTTAAAACAAAAAAAAATAATTTAAATAAATAAGCATGAAAAAAAACTTTTTTCGCAAAAGGTGTCTCGTTATTTACCAGTGATTCCGCAGGTATGTCTTGCATTATCTTCTAGCAGTTTACCACCTCGCCATTTCGCTTTTTGCGCCTTGCAATTTGCCAACACCCATATTAAAACTTTTCTGAGTAATAAATAAAGACTAGCGATGTTTTCACCAGATGCAACCAAGCTCATTTACATTAGCAGCCATCTTGTTTAAGTTTCTTTTGGTAAAATTATAGTTAGAGATTCAGGGGAAACCACTCTAACATACAGATGGCAGCTGTTTATATAGCAAATCTTGCTTGCAAACACTGCTGTTTAAAGTTAATTTCTGGCCTATATTGATATATTTAGCCATTCATTTTGGTTTATTATTCAGTTATCTATAATATTTGACACAAATATTATCACAATATACATCTAATAAAGCCTTACCAATGAGGCAACTTTTTCTCACATTACTAGCCTTGGCCGATTTTACGCACCTAAAAGATAGATTATCATTTTTATTTAGGCTCTAATTAATATTTATTTATTATTTTAGGCCTAGGGCCTAATTATTTTAATAAAGTATCTCAATTTCACACAATGGTTACTGAAATTAGGCTAATAGAAACCTGTGTTATATATTTTTATATAAATTTTATAGGCGTATATCATCTGGCCAATAGATCTATGGGTTCGGTCACACTAAGTCAGACACACATACATTCAGACAGAATTACAATGTCTATATCACATACAAGAATGTAAGAAGTGTAGAAAATGCCCAAATTTGTATTTGGAGTAAAATAATTCACTCAAAATGGGACAATGACGCCTTAAAAATCATGTAGATTTTCAAAGTTTTTATAGAAAAATAACCAGTTTATGACAAGTTTGAATATAATTTAAATTATAAACAACTGCACATTTCAGCATACGATGAATACACAAGGTTGACAATCAGATTCACACTTACTCTTCAGTTAGTCTTAAATGATCTTTTTGATGAACAAAATACCAGTTTCTTAATAACAGTGGTATTTGTCATTTATGGTTAGTACACAAATTAGTTGCATTTGTATGCATCAATTTGTCCCTTTTGTGCCCAGGACACATGGGATCACCACTACAGCTGGTTTCTGGCAATTTGTTTTGCAGTTCCCCCAGATAACCCTGCTCTTGTATGTTGTTTTTCTGCTGTGCATCTCTACATCTCCCTTGGCTTTCCCTGTTTAAATTGAAACCTCAATTTAATAAGAGCTATTCCTGTGTTGTCATCTGAACTCATCCTTAAAAAATCATTTTTCATATCTTTTCTGAAATAGCTTCCATTTCACTCAGTAACCTGTCATCAGAGGTGGTGTTGGACCAGTGAATGTCTTTTATCCTTCATTGACACTTAGTTTAGAAAGAATCCAGCAATCAGATGGCTGTGGTTGTTGCATTATTATTATAATTAGGCATAAATATATAATGTATAAATATTTCTAAACTATATTATAATATGTTATAATAAATTCCTCTCTTTTTTAAAAAACTTTACATGAGCACAGTACTAATAATATATCTTATGAATGAACAAATATAGTTAAAAGTTACCAGGATTGATAATTTAAAAGAAAATTCAATTATACTTAATTTGTGCTTAATATGTTTTTTTGTCAGTAGCCTTATCTAATATTGCTCATCCCCATCCCCCCTACTTCATGCTTTCCAGCTTTGGTTGATGAATATATTGACAGCATAAGTGTGTTGTATACCTGTATTTCTATAAGTTATAACCAAAGCTCTGTATTATGTGTGAGTCCTCACATCTAATCAGCATGCTTTAAATAACCTAAGTTAGAAGCTGACTAAAGCAAAAATGATTTTCATAAATAATCTTTCACTTTTTTTTCCAATAATAACTAAAATTACTTGCCTCTATTCTCAAATATACCTCTCTTCTATGAGAAAGATGTCCTACTATTTATAAATAAAACATTGAAAGACTAACAACTTCAACACTATTCAGATTGTAATAATTCTTCTCCTCTTCTTCAACAGATGTCAACAAGTATAGGAATGACGTTCCCAGTTTCACACAAAACAATCTTTGTCCTTGACCACAGCTCCTATTTTACTCAATCTTGTAACCAACCTATAGAGTATGATGTTCTCAAATCTAAAGGTTCAGGGGTCATTCCAGCTGCACCTATAACAAAATCATTATGGACCTGCAATGTTGAAGGGTTGCAGGAATATCTAAGGATTGTGTTTGATATCTACCCTAAAGATAAACTGGTAAGATAGCAAATCTTATTTTAGAAATTTAAGCCCAGCCACCTGTAGTGTTTGCCAAAGTCTTGTATTTTTGATGGTACTAGTCTAGTAATGAAGTTGTTTTTTTTTACATTAGAATAGTAAAGTCTAATTCTAGATTAAAAAGTTTTCTGTTTCTTCAAGTAACTTTCAAATTGTTCTAAAATTAAAGTTGGCTGATTCTTCACTTAGATTTCTGTTGCGCAGTTTTTCGTTGCACATCTTTCAGATCACCCATCTAATGATCTGACTCCTCTTTGCCTCATCGCACATCATCACAAAATTATAACCCCCCCCCCCCTCTCCTCCCCTGTGAGTGTGACGTCAATTATGGACAACTCCTAACTACAATTAGCTGTGTAAATGATGGACTTACTATTTTATCTTCTCTACCAGGTTAGAGTTATTCGAGGTGGTCTAGCACTAAATCCTTGGAATTGTCCTGACACAATCAATGTAAGTACCTCAACTATTAACTGACACCTTCTTTATTCATGTCACAATAAGGTTATAATATTGATTTATAGACTAAAATTTTCTCTGAAAATGTAATTTGTTTGCTTTGCAGTTTTTATTTAAACTTAAAATATCTAAACAGTACATACATTTTTAACTTAGCTATGCCTATCAACTTTAAATACATTTTTAAAACTGTTGCCATTATGAAAAATATGTCTAATACCACTAAAACTTACTTAGCAGTATTATTTTTTTTAAGTTTGATAACTATTTTCTTTGTCAGACCATCAACCTACAGCTAGCTAGAGTTGGGCCTCCCAGAGCCAAGAAGGATGACAGTGAGTACTCCGTACACCATGGGCTCACCTGCGCAGTCAAGTGCCTGTGTGAGCCGAGCCTGCAGCAGCAGGAGTGTATTAATCGTGGGGACACTGTAAGAAACAGGGGCCGAATCATCTGCTTGACCAACTGTAAAACGTAAGCTTTCAATTTTCCTACCTAATGGTGCAGTTAAAATTAAAATTGTCTAGTGTTGTTAAATATGAATTTTTCTTTATGTCCTTTTGATATTTTCACTGTTTTTAAGTACTTTTGAGGTTATATTTCTAAATATTAAACCTATTAAATCTAATAGATTTTACTGACAGTGGCTATTTTTTTTTTTTTTAAAGTTTTTATTTAATTCCAAATTCTGTGTATTTGTTTTCTTGTTTGTGGCTTTGTAGCAAAACTTGTAACTCAAATTGACCCACATTTCTTTCAAACTTTCCGGATACATTTATCTTTGGTGACAATGCAAGAATATGTTTTAAAAATTATCGAACTAAATATTATATTAGTAATTAAACAATTTTTTTAATAATAACTTTTTAAGTGCATATAAAATAAAAGCATTGGTTGCTCATGAAATCTATAGCACATTTTAGCTTCTAATGCTGTTATTAAAGAAAGGAAGTTTTATTAGTTTTTTACAAGCTTTTATTGAGTCTCAACGTCTGTTTGTGGGCTTGTTGCAAATCTTGTAATTCAATTTTGACCCACTTCTAATGAAGCAATTTTGTTCAAATTTTCCAGATACGTCCCACTTTGGTGACAATAGAAGTCTATTTATTTTTTAATTTAATTAGATGTTTAATTACTCATTAAAATTTAATTAAACTAAGATTTTAAAAAATCACTTGATAGATTACTATATTCAATAACAGAAGGGGAGATAATTAGTATATTCCCTTCTTATTGTTCTAATCCTTAATTCAGTTATAATAATTGTTTTATTTATATATAATGTATCACAGTGACTTATCTGTGCGTCAACTAGAGGAATTTGTGCTGGAGTCTATACAGCAACACAACAAGATGACCGGAGAACTGTAAGTACCAGTTTTCTTTGTCTTAACATTTTGGATTTCTCAACAAAAGATCAGGAATAAGTTTAAATACGCTTTTCCACCCCACTCCCTCCCCCAAACCCATTTTCTGCTTTTTCTTAGCCAGGCTTTGACTTATCTGGTTATGTATTTTCTTTTCTAATAAAATAATCTCCCTCCCCCATTCTTATTTAAATGATTTAAGTCTGCTCTGTTTTATAGAATGGGACATTTTTTAGAGTGATTGTTCACAAGTATTTTTCGGATACCAACCCCATTTTACTTTCATGTGTCGTAATCATGCAAAAATTTGTAACTAGATATTTTTGTAATCTTGTCTGAATGGGCGCGTCTATGCTGAGTACTGTTTCAGATATATAATGATTAGATTGTATTCATAGGTTTCTATCAAGAGCTATATCCAGTATCTGGAAGTGGCGTTTTATTTCTAGTTTCTTAAAAAATTTCATAATTAATACATTCTTATTAAACGGCATATCCTCGGTACTTTTTGTCTCTGTGTATTTTCTTGAAAAATAAACAGCTTTGTCACAAACTTACCGACCATTTCAGTAGCCACTCTAGATTTCTATACCAATCCATCCCAACCCTTCCTGATATATATGAATATATGAGAAAGTTAAGGTCACTAGATATATTGAAAAGGCATTTTAACGAGTTATTTTACACAAATCAACTGTGATAGAATAATGTACCTAGATTATACAAGTTTCTGTATTAGTAGGCTGTGTGTTGCATAGTATCATTGAGGGGAGTGTGTTGAGGGAGGGTTGGTCTAGTATTCTGGGTTCCACAAAAAAACATGAAACACTTAAAAAGTCTGTGCTAATTTTTCTATCATATTTTTATTGTCAAGATCTTGTCACTTTCTACATGTTCAAAATATTTTTGAAATTTGACCTTAAATGCTAAGCAATAGTAGTGACAAATAAGAATAACTTATAAAAAATAAATTAAAAAGGAAGGCTATTGCAGAAACCAATTTGTTTAAAAAAATTTGCAGCTAATAATTTCTACCTGCTTTAAAAGAAGAAATCACCTACCTGACATCAAGAATTGATTGACAATAAAACTTAATTTTTCAGAAAAAAAAAGTTTAGCAATCTACCTTAATAAAAAAAAATCTTTTTATACATAAACAAAAAAAAAAACCAACTGTTTAGAACCACTTTTGTTGCAGCTTTCTCCACTAAAAACAGAAAATATACTAGCTGGTGCCCCTATAATGCACAATATGTTTAAATATCTATGTACAATTTTATTATCTTTCTACTAGTAGACCATTGATACTACAACCACAGCTACAATTCTAGTACTAATGCACTGAAAACATTGTTACAACTTTGGCTAGGTTTGTGCAGTATTTCATATCCTTGTGTCACAACAGATTATATATATCAAAATTTGATCATAATTTTGTAATTTTAAAATTTTAAACCTACATTTTAAAGCTTAGTTATCAAAGAGTAAACCTGTATAATCATTGCATATATATATACATACAACTTTGTTCTATTTGTCACATCAGCTGTGAATGTGTACGATGTATCTTTTTCTATCCTTTTTCATGTGATTAGCTAAATAAGAATGGAAGAAAAAATGAGCTATAGCCATAGTTAGAAGGCAATAATTTGTAATTTCCATTTGTTTTTCTTATTGCTATGCTATTCTTGCATGATTTCTAAGAGGCTACACATATAAGTTATCCATATTTTTTAAATAATATGAAATTTAAATGAATAATTAAAATAAAATATTAAATCATGAATTAAATAACACAAATGGGAAATTTTTTACCAGGTCTGACCATTTTTTAGGGTCAGAAGTCACCTCCTTTCTGCACCTAGATGACATTTTAGTATATTTGTTTTTAATTTAATATTTTTTTTTTTCATTTTTTAACACAGTGTGTTAAAATACATTAAATTAAATTCAATAAAATATCCTGGAATTTCTAACAGACAGTGGAAACCCTGTGTGGATGAGGGAACCCGAATATCACAGAACCACTGTGCAGAAAGCATTGTCTACTGATATTTCACCAGTCTCATTAGTTTTATTTTTCATCTATTGTTAAAAAATAGTTATTTATGAGCCATGCTTTCTTATCTTTGTTTTATCATCTATTTAAAAATTGACATGTCCTTTGAACACCAGACAAATTCCAGTTTTCTGCTCCAAAAATGCCTGACCTTTAGTCAACACCCAACTCTTGTAGAATCTCCTGTAGAAAAACTACCATTGTGTCCACTTAAGCCCATGAGAAATTGTATTGATCCCTCACATGACAGTGTAGAAACTTTATTACAGAACGTGTGGGAGGTTCCCACTAAGTTACCCTTAGTTTTATCATATTAACACAATTTCCGTGGTTGGTGCATAAGGTGATAAAAGCTCCTAATTTTCTTTCATCATGAGTCTTATTTGATCAGTTAACAGGACTTTTAAAGCATTCATTTTTCTTGTACTTAAACACTTCATTCTTCAAACATTTGAAGATTTATGTTTTGGTTACTCGAAATTGATTAACTACTTCTTGCTGTGATATATTTGAATTGGTAAAGACGAGTTCTTGTTCTTCCACTCAATGAAAGTATAGAGTTATTTGGCATAAAGATTAATCTCAGAAAAATACCAACATTATTCAAATTCAGGTTTGAGATACCCGAACTTTCTTTTCCTCAGTCCGTAAATAGTTGCATTGATACACAAGCTTTTCTTGGGGAATCTAATAAAAAATTTTTCATTGAACCTCAAATCACATTTCTATAGTTTTCATTATAATTATTATAGTAAGCCCGACATCCAGACTCACTAACAAATTCCAGACAAAAATTGATATACTGAATCGCAAACCCAAATTCCTATCGAATTCCAGACAAAAATGTATATACCGAATCCCAAAACCCAGTTTCCAAACGAATTCCAGACAAAATTGTATATACAGAATCCCAAAACCCATCCTTCCTTACAGAATACAAACCCACACGCTTTAATGAACTGTCTTCATTAGCCATTATAAAGTACACGTCGTAATGATACATAATATCTATATCAGATTATATCAACTGCCTCTCAACATCCCATCTATTTCATTTTCATTTGGCTCTTTGGTCAATCAAACGTGTCATAGCACACCTCTCCAATCTAATTGGTCAGTTAAACGTGTCACAACACATCTCTTCAATCTGATTGGTCAGTTAAACGTTTCAAAATACACCTTTTCAATCTGATTGGTCAGTTAAACGTGTCACAATACACATCTCCAATCTGATTGGTCAGTTAAACGTGTCAAAATACACCTCTTCAATCTGATTGGTCAGTCAAACATATCATATCATACCTATCCAATCTGATTGGTCAGTCAAACACAACACAATACAAATTAACCCAGTCTCTCATTGGTCCGCCACAACCATAAGATGAACATACTTAAAGAGGACGTCTATTGCTTGTAACTATATACAGTGTGTCATTGGTGTTAGGAAGAGCTATGTACAACAAACAACAACACGACATAGCCAGCGGAGCGGCGTGGGGCTGTGGAATGGCATCATGTCTCAACACCCCTGCGGAACTCAGACAGGCCGAACGGGTCGGGGTAGGTGCACTCGGGCTCCGTTTCTTGCAGCGCCTCGGTCAGCGCACACGCCTTGCGCATGTCCTCCTGGGTCTTCCGGCCCAGCTCCCGCTTCTCCACGTTGAAGACGAAGCCGATGAGGCGGATGACGAGCTCGACCAGCTCCATGATGGTCAGCACGGAGATCCCCATCCACAGGCCCAGCGTGCCGCCTATGTCGGCGAACAGATCGGCCAGGCCGTAAGCCGGAAGTTGCCGGTACTCTACCACGCTCAGGTCCTGGGGACAAACAAAGAAAGGATCAGATGGATAGAGTTATACATTTAGGATGGGGTCGTTAAGACGTCATGTCCAACCGTGTCTGGTTAACCAACACTTTAACAAGCCTAGGTACCAAAACACTGGAGAACTGTATAGCACTTCCCTTATAGAGGCCTGATGGGTCTATTAGCTTTAGCTTGTGTGTCTATAGCGTTACCTCTAAGTAGATGTTGAGTCTGAGCATTGTCTGCCGTATGGTGTCGGAGGCTCGCTTGGCCTTGTCCTTCTCCTTGTCCGTGTAGCCTTTGTTGATGCGGTCCGCGTAGCTCTTATCCGAGCTGCTGTTGCTCTGTGTGTTCTGGGCCAACTCGGACCACAGCTCGAAGGCCACGGCCATGAAGTGCTCCTTCTCCGTCTGGTTGAGGAATTCCTGGGGAGGCAGTGGCTAGGTTAGAGCCTGATTGATGTGTGCTTGCTTGACACATCAAAAACAAAAACTCAGCAAAGAAATTAATGAAGTAAGCAATGCTCATTATGAGTTTTATCTGACCATTTCAGACTGTAATCAAATTCCAATAGCGGACACAACTTATATTTTCTCGACACCATATATCTACAAGCCATCCATATCCGACTCAATTTTTTTTCTGTTTTAAATATTGTTTCATTACCAGCACACGAAGTGCTTAAAAAAGATCCCTATCTTTATAAAGAAGAAGCGTATCGTAAACGACAACATATCGTAAATGACAAGACCTTAAGAGTGAGCAGATAACCAACATACCTGTAACATGCTGAGCTGGTAGAACTCCTGGGGCCAGTAGGACAAGGACACGGACTTGAGGTAGGACGTCTCGCTACACGGCTGGTAGCACTGGCAGGTCGCCTCGTACGCCCGGTCGTTGTTCAGTTTACGCTGCATGTCTTCCTCGCACTCGAGGTTGTGGATAGTTATCTTAGGCGACTTCCCGTCAGTTCTATTACGTAATATGCCGAGCCAGTTAGAGATGACGCCGCAGAAGGAGACGTTAACGTTGGGCAGGTCGGGCAGGGCTGAAGACTTGCAGCCACAGCGGGCTATGATGAGCTTTTGTTTACACAACTGCAGGCAGGCGAAGAAGGTGTTTCTGTACGTGTGCATGCCTTGCAGGGACCCCTCTGTACAGTTGCCGTACGGCTCAGGTAAGCGGCTGTGCAGCAAAGCTTTGAGACCTACAGACGATGAATATCCCGGTGGGATGTCAAAGCCGTGATCTACGGGGCTGGGCATGGAACCAGGAGCGTGGACTACCACTCTTATCCCTGCACTGTGCATGATATTGTTTTCAAAGTTGTATACGCCATACGTACCGGGTATGGGGTCATCTTTTTCTACAGATATAATCATCGATAATCCGTTCTCTGGTCCTGTTGAGTGCATTTGTAGTTTATCTTTTAATTGCCCCCCATTAAATGTAAAACAGTTAAAATAGTTACCATCAAAAAACGATGTAAAGTTCTGGACGGAGCACAACTCTCTGTTGAATCTGCAATGTATCAGTAAATCACCAAGATCGTGGCTGATTTTTTTAGCCTCGTCTCCCAGGTTTTCGTAGAACGCTCGGATACTCTCCATGAACGAGTTGTGGTCAAACTCGAACGATGCCAAGAACCGCAGCCAGTTCCGTAGTTGACCCCATTCCTTGGCGTGGACCAGGCTCCGAATCTTGCGTAGAGAGATGGGCTCCGTGTTGCAGATGGTGACGGAGGGGTACTCGACCGGCATGCTGTCCTTGATCTCTGACAGCTCGACCACCTGGAACTGCAGGTATTTCCTGACCAACAGCGACAGCTGCAGCGTGGCGGCCGTGAAGCCAATGATGACCAACAAGGCCCAGATCACTTTCCGCTTGGTGTCTCGGGACGCGACGATTTTGGCGAGCCCGTGTGCGTTGCTCTCAGAGCCCAGCTCGGCGATGATGTCGAGAGCGGAGCGCTGAGGGCGGGTGGGGCTCTTGCTCATGCTGTACTGGTGCTCCGAGAAGACGCCAGTTTTGCCCGGGAGCCCCGTGTACCTCATGCCGCTGTTTTCTCTGGCAACAGAAAAACAAATAGAAATAGTTACGATAAAAAGAGATAGTTTAACTTAAGCTTTCTGGATGCCCTGTATTGTTAAGTCGGTAAAATAATTCTGCTGTTTGTGTGTGTTATGTTAGGCGGTCCACGTTATACTACAACCGAAAAGATTCAGTTATACACGCAGTTTCCGTTTAAAATGACTTGCGGTAATATTCGGTAACATGCCAAAAACTTACCGTGGAAAGCTACTTGCGGAAGTATTCGGTAACAAAGACACAAAGCCCTTTAGGTCCTGTGTGCCGTGAAAATGTCCCCGTGTTGGTCCCGGGGCAGCTTGAAGGGCGGATCTTCTCCTGCCCTGCATCCCCCGGGGCAGGCTTTGATACAGTGCAGGCACCGATAAGAAAAGTCTCAAATTTTCCCAGGGGTTATTTCATTCCCGAGCGAGCCATGTCAGTGGGTTCGCCAAGTTTTCGCTGTTCAGTACCTTGTTTGTTGCAGCTGGTGTTTGGCCCCGTGCTTGTAACTAAAACATTGGCTGCCCCCAACACATTAATCACTCGTTACATCACAGGCGTGGCTGTGTGTGTTTACCACACCATGCCGTGTTACACTCTACACATGTTTTACCATGAGCAAGATTAGGAATTACAACGAATCAAAACACATTCTCAGCTTTAAAATGAACAAATATCTCAAGCAGATCTTTTAACCCTTTATGTATCACTAAAGAAATAATAGTTTAGTAACAGAAACAAATCACAACGAATTAGCTAGTTAAACGATTATTTTACGATGTGAGTAGATGATGTTTATCATGAAACAACTTCCTTACGCCGCTGCAACATGCCTTATGATGCAACTTCTGGTTCGATCTATTAGGTGATCTGTCACCTAAACCCTGGCTAATCCTTCCATAGATACAACGATGTGTTTCTATGAGAGTTTTACCGCTTGCCAAAATGATTGAGAGACCGTCCTCACCAGTTCTATCATTCGGGGTGTATAGACCCTCATACACCGGGGAACACATTTGTCGCATTCAAATGGGCCTTCCTCATACACAATGGCCATACTTTCATACACACGGTCCCTACTTCTCCTCACAGGGGCCCTACTCCTCACATGGGACCTACTTCCCGCACAAGGGCCCTACTTCTCCACACAGGGGCCCTACTTCTCCACACAGGGGCCCTACTTCTCCACACAGAAAGGGGCCCTACTTCTCCACACAGGGGCCCTACTTCTCCACACAGAAAGGGGCCCTACTTCTCCACACAGAAAGGGGCCCTACTTCTCCACACAGAAAGGGGCCCTACTTCTCCACACATGGGCCCTACTTCTCCTCACAGGGGCCCTACTCCTCACAGGGGACCTACTTCCCGCACAAGGGCCCTACTTCTCCACACAGGGGCCCTACTTCTCCACACAGGGGCCCTACTTCTCCACACAGAAAGGGGCCCTACTTCTCCACACAGAAAGGGGCCCTACTTCTCCACACAAGGGCCCTACTTCTCCACACATGGGCCCTACTTCTCCTCACAGGGGCCCTACTCCTCACAGGGGACCTACTTCCCGCACAAGGGCTCTACTTCTCCACACAGGGGCCCTACTTCTCCACACAGGGGCCCTACTTCTCCACACAGGGGCCCTACTTCTCCACACATGGGCCCTACTTCTCCACACAGGGGCCTTACTTCTCCACACAGGGGCCCTACTTCTCCACACAGGGGCCCTACGTCTCCACACAGGGGCCCTACTTCTCCACACAGGGGCCCTACTTCTCCACACAGGGGCCCTACTTCTCCACACAGAACCTGCATACCCACCGCCCTGTTACCAACGTGAGGAACAAACTCTTTAGTCCAGGTTTTAGTAAGGGCTGAGATTGGCCATAATAGCTAAAGCCCCATAAAGCCTTATCAAACTGGCCCCACCAACCTAATAAAACCTTATCAGCCCGCTTGAGAAATTAGCCCGCAGCCTAAAATTAGGAGATTCTAAACGATTCCATCTTGACACAACCAAGGGCGATTAGCCAGTCAATCTAATATTATTGTTAGCTCTCTTCGTTCTTTCACATTCTACACCATTTTTTTTTACATATTCTACACCATTCTTTCACATATTCTACACCATTCTTTCACATATTATACACTGTTCTTTCTTCTTTCACATATTCTACACCATCCTTTCACGTATTCTACACCATTATTTCACATTCTACACCATTTTTTCACGTATTCTACACCATTCTGTGACATTCTACACCATTCTTTCACATATTCTACACCATTATTTCACATTCTACACCATTATTTCACATATTCTACACTGTTCTTTCACATATTCTACACCATTATTTCACATTCTACACCATTATTTCACATATTCTACACCATTCTTTCACATATTCTACACCATTCTTTCACATATTCTACACCATTCTTTCACATATTCTACACCATTCTTTCACATATTCTACACCATTCTTTCACGTATTCTAACCTTTAATTCTTATATTCTACATCGTTCTGTATGTTGGTAATGACAGTGACCTCTCTAAACAGTAGGTCCAGCGGGGATTCAATTCTTACTCCCTAGTAGTGATCTATATACACTGTAACATAGACATTCTTATAGCGGGGATTCAAGTTTTACTGTTATATAGTGATCTATATACACTGTAACATAGACATTCTTATAGCGGGGTTCAAGTCTTACTCCCTAGTAGTGATCTATATACACTGTAACATAGACATTCTTATAGCGGGGTTCAAGTCTTACTCCCAGCGAAAAGATAAAAAAACAAATGGTAGCTGCAGTGAGGTTAATGTAATTAGTAATAAAACAGATAGTATTAGTTACCTCACAAGTTAAAGACAGTTACAAGTACTATGGACGTTTCGACCCAAGGTCTTCGTCAGCACACAACAGTGTGATTACAGATTAGACAAATAAAGACAAACAGTAACACATTTTTTGACTTAGCTCGACAGTGAAAACACGTCTTGTCTGCTAGCCACGATATCCAAAAGAAAAGACGCGTGAGAAGGACGCTTGGACACCGTATAGGGGTGGGGTTGGGGGCGTGGTGTATGCGGGAGGGGGGGGGGTTGTTAGGTGAAAGATATCTGTTCATTCAAGCCATCGGGTGCCCGTGTACCAAATTTAAGTATTAGTCGCGTTTCAGTGCTAAGGCGATTTTTAAAATTGTGGCAAAACCGAACGGCGGTTACACAAAAGTCCTTTTTTAAGTCATGCCCACTCTTGTTGAAGTGTTTGGCCACAGGAAGACCGTCTTCATTGTTGATTGATCGCAGGTGTTGGCTAACCCTGTCAGACAATCTTTTCCCCGTTTGTCCGATATAAAAGATGTTGCAACGCCTGCACTGGATGACGTAAACTACGTTGCGGGACTCACAGTTGAAGTGATTTTTAATTTTGAGGGTTCCCTTCGGCAGCTGCAGTGATTCAACCTGAAGGGTGAAATGACAGGTATTGCATTTACGGGGACAAGGAGTGGTGCCCAAACCGGTGTTGGTAGTGGGTGGCAGGCGGCTGCGAACTAAAAGGTCTCTAAGGTTGCGTTCCCTTCTATACACAACCAAAGGATTTAGCTAAAAATATCATTATAAAAAATTATTCTATCCTCAAGTCAGACCCTCATTTAGGCCATTTATTTCAACAGAATCCTTTGGTTGTGTATAGAAGGGAACGCAACCTTAGAGACCTTTTAGTTCGCAGCCGCCTGCCACCCACTACCAACACCGGTTTGGGCACCACTCCTTGTCCCCGTAAATGCAATACCTGTCATTTCACCCTTCAGGTTGAATCACTGCAGCTGCCGAAGGGAACCCTCAAAATTAAAAATCACTTCAACTGTGAGTCCCGCAACGTAGTTTACGTCATCCAGTGCAGGCGTTGCAACATCTTTTATATCGGACAAACGGGGAAAAGATTGTCTGACAGGGTTAGCCAACACCTGCGATCAATCAACAATGAAGACGGTCTTCCTGTGGCCAAACACTTCAACAAGAGTGGGCATGACTTAAAAAGGACTTTTGTGTAACCGCCGTTCGGTTTTGCCACAATTTTAAAAATCGCCTTAGCACTGAAACGCGACTAATACTTAAATTTGGTACACGGGCACCCGATGGCTTGAATGAACAGATATCTTTCACCTAACAACCCCCCCCCCTCCCGCATACACCACGCCCCCAACCCCACCCCTATACGGTGTCCAAGCGTCCTTCTCACGCGTCTTTTCTTTTGGATATCGTGGCTAGCAGACAAGACGTGTTTTCACTGTCGAGCTAAGTCAAAAAATGTGTTACTGTTTGTCTTTATTTGTCTAATCTGTAATCACACTGTTGTGTGCTGACGAAGACCTTGGGTCGAAACGTCCATAGTACTTGTAACTGTCTTTAACTTGTGAGGTAACTAATACTATCTGTTTTATTACTAAGTCTTACTCCCTAGTAGTGATCTATATACACTGTAACATAGACATTCTTATAGCGGGGTTCAAGTCTTACTCCCTAGTAGTGATCTATATACACTGTAACATAGACATTCTTATAGCGGGGTTCAAGTCTTACTCCCTAGTAGTGATCTATATACACTGTAACATAGACATTCTTATAGCGGGGTTCAAGTCTTACTCCCTAGTAGTGATCTATATACACTGTAACATAGACATTCTTATAGCGGGGTTCAAGTCTTACTCCCTAGTAGTGATCTATATACACTGTAACATAGACATTCTTATAGTGGGGATTCAAGTTTTACTGTCTTATAGTGATCTATATACACTGTAACATAGACATTCTTATAGCGGGGTTCAAGTCTTACTCCCTAGTAGTGATCTATATACACTGTAACATAGACATTCTTATAGCGGGGATTCAAGTTTTACTGTCTTATAGTGATCTATATACACTGTAACATAGACATTCTTATAGCGGGGTTCAAGTCTTACTCCCTAGTAGTGATCTATATACACTGTTACATAGATATTCCTGTAGTCTTAGGGTCGCTTCAGTCCTACACGCAGGGTGCAAGGGAAATACAGTCGGCACCCTAGTAAACATAAGAGCTACACCACACACTGTCTTTTACAAAAGCATCCATTAAATACATGGAGCCTAGCTGTCTAAAAACATACCCAGAAGTCTTAGCTTAAATTTTGGTTTCTGTTTCACATAACCTGGTACGTGAAAAAACATGTGACCTGTTAGTTAAGTGGTTCAAACCCTTTACGGTAATTAACTTGTTAGTTAAGTGGTTCAAACCCTTTACGGTAGTTAACATGCTAGTTACGTGATTCAAACCTCTAACGTTCTGTGAAGTCTAAGTCTCGTGGAAGTATTAAAGACAGACATTACAGCAGCCAGTAACGACAGACATTTGAAGAACTCAGTAACGACAGACATTTGAAGAACTCACTAACGACAGACATTTGAAGAACTCACTAACGACAGACATTTGAAGAACTCAGTAACGACAGACATTTGAAGAACTCACTAACGACAAACATTTGAAGAACTCAGTAACGACAGACATTTGAAGAACTCACTAACGACAGACATTTGAAGAACTCAGTAACGACAAACATTTGAAGAACTCAGTAACGACAGACATTTGAAGAACTCACTAACGACAGACATTTGAAGAACTCACTAACGACAGACATTTGAAGAACTCAGTAACGACAAACATTTGAAGAACTCAGTAACGACAAACATTTGAAGAACTCACTAACGACAGACATTTGAAGAACTCACTAACGACAGACATTTGAAGAACTCAGTAACGACAAACATTTGAAGAACTCAGTAACGACAAACATTTGAAGAACTCAGTAACGACAAACATTTGAAGAACTCACTAACGACAGACATTTGAAGAACTCACTAACGACAGACATTTGAAGAACTCAGTAACGACAAACATTTGAAGAACTCACTAACGACAGACTTCTAAAGCACGTTTTCACAAGACGTTTCCCTTCTGCCCCCAAAGAACCTGAAACCCAGTGTTGAGTCAACTTGTCACGGAGCGCCGGGAAAAAACCTAAACAACCTGAAATCTCCTTCCATTAGCACTTGTTACATTTCACCAGAGCTAACCACGGGTCCTGCTGCTTCAGAAATCTTTGTTTCACTCGTGGCTTGCCACGTTTCCGAAATCTCCCACGAAATGTAGCACTTTATCCCGAGAGAAACGGTCGGATATTATCCACAAATCCACTGCCCGACTGACTAGCCCGCTGCCTGTGGGCGAGTGGATCATAAACACTGTTATCACGGGGCTGGGGCACTAGGCGCTGGACGCAAATAACGCTAAGCAACATGTGGTAGAGTGTGCCACGTGCCAGGCTTGTCTACCTCACCTGCGCTCACTTCAGCCCAGTTTTTTTATTATAATAATGGGGGGAAGGAATTAAGATAGGTGAACTTTTTTTTTTCATACTAAAGTACTGCGGCTTGCTGGGCTTGATTTTGGCTTCAAAAGCGTTTTTTTTTGTCGTCACGGTATAAATACTTTAAAATATTCCAATGATTGGCTTTTGCACATAGGGTGAAATTTGATTGTATAGTCGCCCGTGCACTTGCCTCTACCTATTGCTAGTTGGTCTATTGTCTTCTTTTCTACTGGAATAATTAACTTGATACACGAGATAGGTATGTAGAGTATTCCTATATAAATATACACATTTTGATTCTTTGGGTAGACTGAAATGGTTGCTCATACACTGGAGAGATGAGAGAGCCCTTCATGCACCCGGGGCGAACTTAGCTTTGTGCACCATATATATATATATATATATATATATATATGTATATATATATATATTTGAGGGAAGGGGTTTATGATCGGTAAGGTTTTGGTCATAACATTTTTTATATATGCAGTCGTGTGGAAATAATTATATAAATCAGGATGTAAAGCGATGTAGGTGTCTATATTCTAACTTTGACTTGTTTTATTCGGCCATTCAATTTTATCTTTTTTGTTAGATTTCGCTGCCTCATTTTACCGCCCCCCCCCCCCCTCCAGTCACGGCGTCGCCCTCCTGTCCCACCCAACCCAGCTAGGCCACTGGACAAGGGAATATCTAACCACCTATGATCCTATCATCTTTTGTAAACAACAACTATTTCAAGTTATTGCAAGACTTTGTAGTGGTGACGACAGTCAAGAAAAGTAGCCTAAAGATATGCTAGTTAATGTGTGTGTGTGTGTGTGGGGGGGGGGGGGGGGGGCTATTTGTGATCACCAGACGTGAAGTAGGAAGTACGAACATATTGCATGACGAAATATAGAGGTAAAACAGTATAGAATTTTTTTTTTGTTTGTTTGTTTCCTGGTCCAGTTGTTTACATTGTATTTACAATCAGGTTGCAGTGTTTCTTTCAGTTATGTCTCTGGAGCTGCTTCTCCCCCTCTTCCTGAGGTTTTCCTCCGCGCCTCAAAGAAAATAAAATAAAGAATCTACCCCCACCCCCGCCCAGAGAAAGTATGTCCCCCGTCCCCTAAAAAAAAATATGTATAAAAACTCCGTGAGTTGTGTTTTACTTGTGTCCCCAGCAACATCCCATACCTACGTCACAGTGGGCGGGGTAGTTTGATCCGCATGAACTCTGACCCCTCTGCGGACAGCGTCGTTTGTTATTGTGATCACTGACCGCACATAAACAGTTGCCTCTTGATAAATCTACACTTTTCACGGAGCTCTGTTGTTGCAGCCTTAGAGCTCATTGAGGCTATTTGTCATGAGCTAACCCGTGTTATTTGTCAGGAGCACACCCATGCTATTTGTCAGGAGCACACCCATGCTATTTGTCAGGAGCACACCCATGCTATGTGTCATTAGCTAACCCATGCTATTTGTCATGAGCTAACCCATGCTATTTGTCAGGAGCTAACCCATGCTATTTGTCAGGAGCACACCCATGCTATTTGTCAGATATTAGAGATTATTGGTTACATTGTCAGTCGTCCTCTCGTGTTTGCGTTCATTAGTTTATTTGTCAATCGTGTTTACGTGCTGCACTGGTTAATGAAAGACGTGCCAGCATTTAATTAAATCCGTTACATTTGCTTTGTGAGGATTGATGGGCAGAATATAAAAAAAAAGAAACAAAGTGATTGATTTATCACATTTAATCAGTTTATCTAACAACTTTCACATACTATGTGTTATACATCAGCTGTTATGTTATAGATCAGCTGTTATATTGTTGTACAAAAATTATATAATTAATGTTAAAAATTGGCTGTCATACTTGTATCAGTTCGTTGGCCTGGTGTTTCGCTAGTTTGTCTACACCAGCTGTTTGGGTGATTTATTCTCATTCCATCAGCGAACACAATCTTATAATCCCAGCATTAGCATTTCATTTTTTTGTCTATTGCGCCGTGCGACTTTATAGAAATCTGATTCTGGTTGGATGAATCATAGGGCTTATCATGAACAAGTTGATAGGTGGGCTTATCATGAACAAGTTGATAGGTGGGCTTATCATGAACAAGTTGATAGGTGGGCGTATCATGAACAAGTTGATAGGTGGGCTTATGAACAAGTTGATAGGTGGGCTTATCATGAACAAGTCGATAGGTGGGCTTATCATGAACAAGTTGATAGGTGGGCTTATCATGAACAAGTTGATAGGTGGGCTTATCATGAACAACTTGATAGGTGGGCTTATCATGAACAAGTTGGTAGAACCAGGTGGGCTTATCATGAACAAGTTGATGTAACAACATGGGCTTATCATGAACCCACTAAACACAAAATGGAATTAACCCTGAATATTTTCTGCATATAACGCACTGTATGGGACGTGACAGGTGGGAAGGTGACGATTTAATTAACGATTTAATTAACGCTAATGGCGTCACGAGAAGTGAGATGTCACATAAAGATGGGAAACAGCACAGATTATATGGTGATATAGCACACGCTAAGTGGTGATACAGCACAGGTTATACGGTGATATAGCACACGTTAAGTGGTGATACAGAACACGTTAAGTGGTGATACAGAACACGTTAAGTGGTGATACAGAACACGTTAAATGGTGATACAGCACACGTTAAATGGTGATACAGAACACGTTAAGTGGTGATACAGAACACGTTAAGTGGTGATACAGAACACGTTAAATGGTGATACAGCACACGTTAAATGGTGATACAGAACACGTTAAGTGGTGATACAGAACACGTTAAGTGGTGATACAGAACACGTTAAATGGTGATACAGCACACGCTAAGTGGTGATACAGCACACATAAGACGGTGATTCAGCGCGTCTTAAGTGGTGATACAGAAGAAGCTAGACGGTGATACAGCACACGTTAAGTGGTGATACACCACGTTAAACGGTGGTACAAAACACGTTAGACGGTGATACAGCACATGTTAAGTGGTGATATAGTACTCATTAGAGGTGATATAGCACTCATTAGATGGCACATCACATGTTTAAGTGGCGTACAGTACGTTACACGGTGATACATTATGTTAGATGGTGATACAGAACAGTTTTGACAGTGAGCCAACATTGTTTATAGCATGTTTCTTAAAAGTAAACACACTTAGTTAGTTGACTGTAGTTTAGCTCATTCTCCTTCTTCCCCCCCCCCCAATTAATAGCACTGTTCACTCATCCTGAACTACCCTCTTACTATTGGACTCACCCACGCTCATTAGGTTATACAGGCGACTAATTTTTCAGATACCATCTGGTTTTTATCGCAGACTCAACTAATGAATAAGACGAGATGACACGGGACGTACACTTTAATGCAATATTGTACAGAGTGAGGGGACAGTTTGATGGAGCCGACAGGGAACGGCAGGGAAATTAATATATTTGCATTGTGCTTCAATAAATATGTACGGAAGACGATTTCATCTAAGACATGAATGATGACAATATAAATCTTGTAGCTATTGCTAGAGAAGAATCTGAGTTGGTTGTCAAGTTGAGCAAATTGTCCAGCGTGGTACACTCTAGTGAGAAGTGCTCACTTCTTTAATCAAACCATATGGCTCGTCCATGGACCATAGCACAGCCCTTATACACCTTTGTCACCGTTATGATAACATTTGGTCCTTTGGCCGTCGCTGGACACTTTGGTGTGGTCCATATGACAGATTTGATCACGTGGTTGTTGCTGTGGTCCACATATCGGACCACAGTTGACGTAACGCACCTTGGTGTCTTTACCAGGGCCACATTACTATTGGCCAGCCCACAGTGTTGACCAGAAGTCCAGTCACTCTGGTGAAAGGTTCACGACAACCGGTCTCACGACAACTGGTCTCACAATCCGAATCTGTTCCACACATTGTTTTCTGTCTTTTGTATTGCCGTTAGTGTTGACGGGCCTAGGAGTGTTCTGGCGACATTGTTTAGAGTTTGGTCCGTGAGTCTTATGTACAAGTAGCTGGGGCTCCCACACGAGGCCAGCTATCATACGGTAGCGTCAGCACCCCGCCGGAAGTCGGTCTCAGGGGCGTAGGGATCCGGGTAGTTTTTCTCCAGCGTGGCAGCCCTGTATAAATGGGCGTTTGTTTTGGACGTCTGGTAGCCGACGTGTTTCCTGATGCTGGCCTGTTTGGGGGGCGGCGGGCCCTTCTTCTCCACGTTAAACATGAGCCCGCTCAGGCGGATGACCAGCTCGACCAGCTCCATGATGGTCAGCACGGAGATCCCCATCCACAGGCCCAGCGTGCCGCCTATGTCGGCGAACAGATCGGCCAGGCCGTAAGCCGGAAGTTGCCGGTACTCTACCACGCTCAGGTCCTGGGGACAAACATTTCAAGCCAGGTGAGAAAAAAATATATTGTAACCAATCAATGTAAGACTAAATCAATCAAAACATGCCCCTCCCAACTCCCATTTAAATTCTGATGCACCAAACATTAAATGACCCGTGGCGGATAACTTACCTCCAGGTATATGTTTAGTCTGAGCATGTTTTGTCGAATGTAGTCTGAAGCTTCGTTAGCCTCCTTCCTCTGATTCTTATCCGGCGCCGTCCTTAGTTTTTTGGTTGGGGTTTGTGTTATATTTCGTTGTTTGTCTAGAATCTTAAAAGCCTTTTCCATGAATTTTTGCTTGCCTGAATTATCCTTTATGCCGAAAAATTTCTGGGGAACAATGGAAAACCCTATGTAATTGTTTGTATTTAAAAATTTACAACAGACAGAAACAGTTTATATCTTCGTAGCTGATAGTGAATAGCTTAATAAAGTAATGTGTGAAAGGCTAGGAGAGCTTTGATAGAAACTTACCTCCACTGCGTTGACCTGGTAGAACTCGAGTGGCCAGTAGGACAAGGACACAGACTTGAGGTAGGACGTCTCGCTACACGGCTGGTAGCACTGGCAGGTCGCCTCGTACGCCCGGTCGTTGTTCACCTCATGCTGGACCCGTTCCTCGCACTCGAGGGCGGGGATGGGGACGAGCGGAGGTTCGCTCATGTTCATCTTTCTCACCTCCATGAAAAACCCGAGCCAGTTTGAGATGACGCCGCAGAAGGAGACGTTAACGTTGGGCAGGTCGGGCAGGGCTGAAGACTTGCAGCCACAGCGGGCTATGATGAGCTTTTGTTTACACAACTGCAGGCAGGCGAAGAAGGTGTTTCTGTACGTGTGCATGCCTTGCAGGGACCCCTCTGTACAGTTGCCGTACGGCTCAGGTAAGCGGCTGTGAAGCAAAGCTTTGAGACCTACAGACGATGAATATCCCGGTGGGATGTCAAAGCCGTGATCTACGGGGCTGGGCATGGAACCAGGAGCGTGGACTACCACCCTTATCCCTGCACTGTGCATGATATTGTTTTCAAAGTTGTATACGCCATACGTACCGGGTATGGGGTCATCTTTTTCTACAGATATAACTAGCGACAGTCCGTTCTCTGGTCCTGTTGAGTGCATCTGTAGTTTATCTTTTAATTGCCCCCCATTAAATGTAAAACAGTTAAAATAGTTCCCATCAAAAAACGATGTAAAGTTCTGGACGGAGCACAGCTCTCTGTTAAATCTGCAATGTATCAGTAAATCACCGAGATCGTGGCTGATTTTTTTAGCCTCGTCTCCCAGGTTTTCGTAGAACGCTCGGATACTGTTCATAAACGCCCGCTCATTAAAGGTTACTATGTCCAAAAAATGCAACCACTTCTGTATGACTTTGGTTGTATCGCGACTGTGTATCTCCCGCAGTTTCCTCAGGGAGATGGGTTCTATGTTACAGACAGTGACGGAGGGGTACTCGACCGGCATGCTGTCCTTGATCTCTGACAGCTCGACCACCTGGAACTGCAGGTATTTCCTGACCAACAGCGACAGCTGCAGCGTGGCGGCCGTGAAGCCAATGATGACCAACAAGGCCCAGATCACTTTCCGTTTGGTGTCTCGCGAGGTGACGATCTTGGCGAGCCCGTGTGCGTTGCTCTCAGAGCCCAGCTCGGCGATGATGCCGAGGACGGTCTGACTGTCATACTCCTGCAGGTTCTGGCAGTGGTTGTTGTAGTTTCGCTGGCGTGTGGAGATGTAGGGGTGTTGGGACGCCATCGGGTGGGTGTTCGCATATTTCATACAGCTGGGTGCAGATTCCCTGGGAAAGAAATAAAAGATGAAGCTAACTTGAAACATATACACGTAGTACTAGTAATGCTCGGTTATTTAATTGGACATTCGTCTTTATTCTCTTACAATAAGACATTGGTATAATATGTATACTATTTGCTATTATATTTATAATATTTTTAAGCTGTTGCGTTCAATGGAATATTAAGAGACTGACAGTTTTTATGTTAATGTAATTGTTTATTAATGGAAGAAAAACAGTCTTGAGAAACGTACGCTGACAACCCTACCCCATAGCACGCCGACCACCCCACCACATACTAAGTTATCCAGCCAGCCTCTGCTATGTTGTCGTTTCCCCCACCCCCGATATTGGCCAAAGTTACCGGTGGAGGTTTACATTCTAGCCATAAAATCTAACCGAGAGATAGACGGAGAACTAACACTGAGGTGGGTCTGTGCATGAGCTCCATCAAGTTATAGCATGACAGAGGCAGTAACACCCCACTATTTGTTCCCGTCATGACCTCTAGTCAACTAAACCTCGTACTTCATACTGCAATATCTACATACAGTGTATATTTGTTCTAGATATGTTGGTGACCATCTCACGGCTGACGTAGATAATGTACAGCAACATCTACCTACATTTGTGTATATTTGTGTACATTTGTTCTAGCCTAATATCCCGCACGTCTTAATGTCCATCTCAAGCTGACGTAGATAATGTACAGCAATATCTAACACGTGTCAGATTGTTTTTCTCGGGTTGTTCATATCGAACACGAGCGAGGGACCATCTCTAAATGAGCTGGGATGAAATAGATGACTGGATAAACCCGAGGCCGTCATCTTGTGGCGTGTGTGACAGAACTAGTTAGTGGGAAATAAATGAGACAAGACTCTCTGGGGCTACAGTTAGCAACGGTGACACGGTTTATTGACAGCTTATATTTTTACAACCTTTATTCACTCAGATCTTCAAAAAAAAAAAAAAAAAAGAAAGGAAAATTCCGCTAAAATCCTAAAAGAACTAGTCTTTATTTTTTGGGGGACTTGACAGCAGTCGAATTTTTTTGTAGCGACAATATTAAGTTCTCAAATCTTTAGGGGATTTTGTTTCAACGTCTCGTTTCGGTAAATGCACATAGGTAATTATTTAGTAATATCTAATTTCCCATGGTGTCGGTTATATTTTCTGTATTATTGGATATACTTCTTGCAGTATTACCTCACCGAAATTTACGTAAGAATATCCAGAGCAGCTTCACTAGAATTGGTTAGATTGCTCATACTTTTGCAGTCATGGAATACTCAGCAGTAGTGCAGGTTCTATCTTAAGTGCACGTTCTTTTTCAGTCATGGAATACTCAGCAGTAGTGCAGGTTCTATCTTAAGTGCACATACTTTAGCAGTCATGGAATACTCAGCAGTAGTGCAGGTTCTATCTTAAGTGCACGTTCTTTTTCAGTCATGGAATACTCAGCAGTAGTGCAGGTTCTATCTTAAGTGCACATACTTTAGCAGTCATGGAATACTCAGCAGTAGTGCAGGTTCTATCTTAAGGGGCGCCGAAACAAAGTTCTTGACGCCACGCTGTATGTGAGGCGGATATTTTAACCGTGATCCTATCGTGTTGGTCTCTGTGAGGCTAATATTTGGCACTTGTCATGTCTTCTTGCTCTAAGTGAGGCTAATATTTGGCCGTGGTCCTATCGTGTTGATATCTAATTGAGGCTAATATTTGGCACTTGTCATGTCTTCTCGATCTAATTGAGGCTGATATTTGGCCATGGTCCTATCGTTTTGATATCTAATTCAGGCTGATATTTGGCCGTGGTCCTGTGCTATTGGTCTCAGCGAGGCTAATATTTGACCGTGGTCCTGTCCTGTTGGTCTCCGTGAGGCTCATATTTGGCCGTGGTCCTGTCTCCAGAAGTCCTCCCGCCGTAGAGTCAGATAAAAGCTCTCAAGTCCTGGCATTATTTGTTTTAATCCCGTCCCTTCTAGAGCGAGTCTTGGACTGGTGCTCGCTGTTTGTGTTTCTGTTGAAATAAAAATAAATAAGGAAAGTTGTGTAGCTAAGGATTCCTGTCTTTAGTAGTGGAATTAACATTCATCCCTGAGTGTTGACCATCTTCATATCATCTTAGGTCTTCCCAGCATGGATCTAGTCAACACACTGCAATAGAACAGCGGTCTGGCGTCAAAAGTCTTGTATATATCAGTACCTTTGAGGAAAATAGTGTGTCTAATAGAGTATTTCTATGTCCATGTTCTAAATCCACGTGCTATTGGCCATGAGCGCGTAGGACGGCATTGACAGCAGGGACCAAGACAAAAAGCCGTCACGATTTTCCTTTGGGCTTTGTATTCAAGTCTGTGGGTTACTATAGTTTAAGGCAAAATAGGCAAATCTTGGTGGAGCATTGGGGCAGCTTAACCCCTGCCAAAAACTTTTTTTTAGCTTATTTCTAAATGTTATGTCTGCCTCTTAAAAAATAAACTAAAAACTTTAATGACAATTTCACCTTTTTCTCCCTGGATTATTCTGTCTGTTTTACACGGAAGCACAGTAGTGTGTGATAGCTAGCCAATATACAATTAATTTTTTACAGCTATTTCTTAAAGACCCGTTTCATGAAATAAACGCTAAAAACTAACGTTGGAATTTTTTTTTAAACTTGACAGCTGTAAGACAAAATACGTGTTCCTTCACACACTCATACAAGTGTGGTCTCGGCATGAGTACATTTTATATCGACAACATCCAATTACTTGCTAGCTACTGCTGGCAAATTTGCACCGCTGGGGAACTCATTATGGTCCATCATTTCACCTGAAGGAGTTTAAGAAAGTTTCCGCTAGGAACTTGATCTACTTGCACTATCCCAATAACCCCCACTACATCCCAGCATGGGTCGGTGTTTCTACACGGTCCTCGCGCCTGACTGTAGGACAGCAGAAACAATGGCTCATTAGTCTGGTCATAACGCTACTAGCTGCTATATTTAGCGGGGGCCATTACCCGCCAGCCGACCCTGTAACAGACTCTTTTTTTTAGCCCTTCTAAAAATAGCCAGTTGACGCTGTAATGTTCTCATTTGTGTAAGAAGAAAAGCTAGAATACAATGATAAAGTAGGACTTACCCTGTACGATTTTCACGGCCTGGCGCTTGTGATCTCCTATTGTTGTTGGCAATTCTCCCTGAATTGATGAAAAATACTCGCTCACCGATTCGGTTTCAAAACAGATTTTCAGAAAATCTATTTTGGAAAGTGGGTGGGGGAGGGGGGAGAAGAGGAGGTTGGAGTCATGGATAAAACATTACCGCGGTGAAAACCGGTAGAATAAAAAAAAAGAAAAACACCGCTTTTCAAATAGTCAAATAAATCTACACATTTACTGTAAAGTTCTTTTAAAACTGTACCGGTGCGTCTGAATTCTGACGCCAATGAAATGCTTGGATCCCCTGATTTTGCCGTGTTTTCAGTAAGACAGTCACGCAGCTGTTAGTATTGTGGGTAAACACGGCAATAAAAGGTTGAATATCTTGTATGAGACAGCCACGCAGCTGTTGGTATTGTTGGTAAACACGGCAATAAAAGGTTGAATATTTTGTATGAGACAGCCACGCAGCTGTTGGTATTGTTGGTAAACACGGCAATAAAAGCTTGAATCTCTTGTATGAGACAGCCACGCAGCTGTTGGTATTGTTGGTAAACACGGCAATAAAAGGTTGAATATTTTGTATGACACAGCCACGCAGCTGTTGGTATTGTTGGTAAACACGGCAATAAAAGGTTGAATATTTTGTATGAGACAGCCACGCAGCTGTTGGTATTGTGGGTAAACACGGCAGTAAAACGCTGAATCTCTTGTATGACATACACAGACAAAAAACCTCAAATGCTACTAGTCTGTAGCAACCATTTAGTACTTCATGCCTACTCTATCAGTCTACAGTGTTGAACGTAAACAACCCTAGACACCCCTGCCCTCAGACAACCTCTCATAGTGAATCCTACAAAGACAATGCTAACATAATCACATTCTTTCACGAGCGTCCGTGTGCAATATTTCGTGAGTGGAACCATTCTACCGTGCTTGCTTCTTTAATCAACTCACACTAAAAACATTTTCTTGCTCAATATAAAAAAAAAAAAAACCTTCTATACCCCAACCTCCACCTCCCATCCCCCCCCCCCATTTTTAAACTCATGTTAAAGCCAGATAAGGTTTAAATCCCTCCCTATACCCCCCCCCCCTCCGCCCCTTCCAGCCAGCGTGACACATTAGAGTTTGGTCTATCTGGACGTCACAAAGATTTGTAAGTTAAATCCTCCCCGCTTCAAATTCGTCCGTTCTAAATGCGGCAGCCGGGTCTTCTATCGACCGGGCGCCGCACGTGATCTAGAATTGTAACGAGTTCCGCTAAGTTTTTACACACAAATTACCGCATTAATTCGATTCGATTTGGGGGAGGGTTTTTTTTTATCACCTTCCCACCCCGCAGCCAAAACTCAGTCGTCATCTTAAGAAGCAAGAAAATTATGAGATTTTATGGGGGTGTGGCAAGTAAATAATGGTGTTTACCCAAATATTGAGATGCTGCAAAAACGTAAAATAATGGGATTTATAGGACTATGGCAAGATATACAGGGATTTTATCAGGGTTATTTGGGGGATGGTTGGGGGATTGGGTCAAAACTATTGATGATGGTGGAGAAATATTCAAGTATTGGGATTTAAGAAAACTATTTGTAAGGTAAAACTAAATGGAGGAACAAAAAGAAATGTTATTATTTATGAAATTATGAAGTGTTTAAACCGCAGCGTTGTAACTAACACATGACCAGAGCCACGCCTAGCCGGAACGGCTAGCTGTCCGTATTTATTGCACTCAGCCTGGACTGTAATAATTGTATACCACATCTTGGTGTGAACATTGTCGCCCGCCGTTTTCTATTGTCTAAAACTTTGGTGTTTGACTGTGTGGCGAGGTGTTTGTGTGGCGATATGTTTCT